CCGCTGGTCCCGGGCGCTCCACGGAGGCCGCGGCGCTCAATGAAACTTTGCGGAGCAGTGAAATGTGCGCCGACAGTCTCCCCGCGAGGGCGCGAGCAGCCGCGCGGGGGAAGCCGCCGCGAGAACCTGGCCCCGGACGCGCCTCCCCTCCCCCGCAACAGCCGACCCGACCGGGCCAAGGTCGGTCAAGTCCTCGGCGCCGGCCCGGCGGCCAAGGGACCCACAGGCCCAGGATCCGTGTGAGCGGGAGCCTCCGAGCAGGGGCCGAATCTCAGAAAGAGCGGCAGGGTAGCCCGGCCAGTCGAGGAGCGAGGCCGAAACGAGAAGCCTCTGGGTCTGGCTCGGTCACTGTTCGCTGGGTGACTTGGACGAGCAGTTACTCCTCGGGGACTCAGTTTCTCCCCTGGCAAATGAGGCGGACAACAGCAGCTCCCGCGTGAATAGGAGCCGCGGGCTCCGCACAGCGTCTAGCACCGAGGCCTCGCGTGAAGCCGGGCCAGAAGACTGCACTACCTCCTCCCAGGTGACCCTAGAGTCTTTCTCACCTCAGACTCCAGCTCCGGAATCTCTCACCTCACGGCCCCTCCTACCACAGTAGGGCCGCCCAACCTCAGCCGCCCTCACTTCCGCTGACCCGCCCCCCCCCGGAAGCGATCCTTTGCAGCTGCGCACCGAGCCGCGCCCTCGCGCGCCCTCGGGAGGCGGTCCTGGCTCGGGGGGCGGGGCGAGCAGGCCGCTAAGTGGGCGTGGCCCTGTCGAGGGCACGCTCAGATCCCGCACGCCCCCTCTGGGACCGCGCCCCACGGAGGCCCGCACCCCTGGGGAGAGTTGACTCCGCCTGGAGATTCTCCCGGCCGGATTCGGCGTGTCTCCCACTTGTTGCTCTCCACGTTTAGTCCCATCTGGCTTCTAGAAGCTGAGGTCTGATTGTGTTGACGGCTCAGCCCCTAAAACATGCGACGTCTGCTGCCCCACCCCTACTGCAAACTTCAGAATCCACACCCTGGCGCTGACCTTGCCCCCTCTCGGCCGGGACCCCTTTGCAGTCTTGCTTCCCAGCCAAGGCCCTCAAAAAGTCTCTCTCCAGCAATAATTGTTCCTCTGACTCCTGTAAGGACGGCCTTGCTGAAATAACAAGAAAATATCTAATCCCATAATTTTCTCATAACAACTAAAAATCAATCTTGAGCTCTACCTATTCATTGCTGTTTCTGTTCCAAACTACCAGGCAACCTGCTGGGGCTCTGTTTTCACAAACACCTGAAAAGAGCCCAGAAAGGAAATATGCATCTTTCTCCTCACATTCACCAGCTCACAGCCTTTAAAATCTGTTTCTGTAGCCTCAAGGAGTTCCTGAGAAGTTCCCAGACAGATAGCAGGGGATAAAAAACCCTATCTCAGGGTCAAAATCACATCCCCTGTGATAGGCCTGACTACATTTCAGAGATAACCAAGTCTCCAGGAACAGAAGAAACAAGAAAGAGGGACAACTTGATGTCCCCATAAAAGCAGCAAGCCACTTGGCCTCTGCTGCTGGCATCTCCCTTCTCTTTGGAATGCCAGGTCGTCTCTCGTCTCTCTGCTGTCTTCCCCCCTTCTCTCTCTCTCTGTCTCTCATTCTCTCTGTCATTCTAAAGGATAACATTAATTTTACTTATATATCTTAATCTCTGTGTGAGAAATCTTTCCCTACCCGAGCCATGAGCACCTACCAGGTTTTCCACCCTAACAACTCCTGCCCTTCAGCACTTTGTAGTTTTCTTCTATTTAGCATCTCCCTCGGTCTCTGTCTCACACACACACACACACACACACACACACACGTATATTCAGTGAATTTGTTCATTAGATGGGCAGCTTGATGGGCAAGGCCCCAGAGTCAGCGTGGGAGACAGCCACATTCCTTGCAGGCTCACCAACCCACTCTGCTCCAACCCTCACTGTCCTGGTCTCCATGGCACCCAGTTCCTGGGTCACATTTCCTCCTCCACCCTCAGCACAGGCTTCGGCTGGGCTTGGCTCCCAGTGTTAGGGTGGAAAGTTTAGTAGGTGCTCACAGCGAGGGTGGAGAAAGATTTCTCACTTAGAGATTAAGATATAAAAATAAAATGTAGTTTATCCTTTAGAAGGACAGAGAGAATGAAATAGAGAAAGGAGGGGGGGGAGAGAGCAGAGAGAGATGGTGTGGCATCCCAGAGAAAGAGAAGGGGGTGCCAGCAGCGAGGCCAAGTGGCTCGGATGATTTTACCGGGGATGAAGAGAAAAAAATAGCGATTGCTGTCTGCCAATAACAAAAGCCCGCAGCAGGTAAATAACAAAAACTGCAAAGATGACAAATTCCAAAAGTTGGTTTCCTGCCTTCCTTGGAGAAGGGATTATCACAGGAGTTGTGACTCTGTCCTCTTGAGATATGGTTGAGGCTGTAGCTCCTGCTGTTTACTCAGGAACTCTGTAAAAGCAGATTCTTAAAAAAAAAATTTTTTTTTTGAAAGAGAGATTTACTTCCATTAGCAGTTGTGCAAACCAGAACCCCTGCAGGGTGCCTGTTAGTGAGACAACTAGAGAGGATTGATCTTTAACCACTACTAGGGAAATTATATGGGATTGGGTATTTTCCTGTTGTTTTTGCAAGGCCGTCCCTTTCACCCAGGCTGCAGTTCCTTGGGCCCCAAGCCTGCAACCCCTATCTGCCAGGGACAGGGCTGGCTTCATGGGTGAACAGCCACCCTATGCAGTCACAATGGGCCCTATACTTAGAAGAACCCTGCACTTGGTTTAGTGCTCTGCTGTTGCCCTCCTGAAATTATAATTTTTTAACAAGGGGGCCTGCATTTTCATTTTGCACTGCACCCTGCAAATTACATAGCTGATCCTGGCCAGAGACCTCAGAGCTCATTCACCATCCGATCCCCTCCACATTTCAAATGATGCAGGTTGACTTCCAGGTCCAGCACTCTTTCTAGGAAGGCAAATTATGCTTTAATCATTACTTCACCCTCCTGGGCAATGGCAGACCATGCAATGTACACCAGCCGTCTTTGCTGGGTGAGGATGCAGGATGGAGAATGAAGCCCCCTAACCTGGGGATTTACTCCCTCTCCCGAGCCAATGACCACTTGATACAAGGTACAAAAAGCTGGTTCAACTTTGCAGTGTGGTTTATGCCCCTGAGACCTTACCCTGTGGATCAGGCCAAGGCTAAGCTGAGACTCTGTCCCTGCTCAGCATTTTTCCTTTCCCTCTTCTGCTTCAATCCTTCTTTTACGGGGTTTTCTTGAGGTTCATTTAAAAAAAAAATCACCTCAAGCCTGTCTCAGGCTCTGCTTCTAAGACATGGCTTTAACTTTAGGATCTTCCTCAACACAGAGCACCAGATTCTCAAAATAGTAAGTCCCACCACTTGCTCTATCACAAATTTATTTTGGGCAAGTCACTCAAGCCCTCTAGTGACAAATAATGTAGTCCCCAGAAGCGTTCCGGCTCCAATCTACCCCAGCGAACTCCCTTGTCCATCTGCCAAACCAACCCCACCGGGGGAGGAGTTGGACCACAGGACAGAACGGAGCCACACCCCACTCAAAGGAAAAGCACTTAGAACCACTCTAGTCTCTTTAATTTTATTATAGGACATGTAAGGCACAGGGGAAGGAAGCGGCAGAGGGGTGACAAGAGGGCAGCCTTGAGACAGGTGGGGGCCAGGCAGAGGCATCAGAGGAAGATGAGTTCAGAAAACCCACGCAATCAGCGCCTTACACGGACGGAAGTGGCGTTGCCCCTCATTCCTCCGAGCAACAGTAGAGGCCCGCTGGGGTGGGAGGCTCAGGGCGCGGGCTCAGAGCCTGCCAGATGGTGGAGGCTGTGGGAGGCTCTGGTGCCCGCCCTCGCGCAAGGAGCACGAAGCACTGCCCCCCACAGGACACAGAACTGGCTGCGCTGGAGATCGCCGAGATGCCCCAGTTCAAGGCTGTCCTTTCCACACCAGGAAGACAGGCAGGGAGAGGGGTGCAGGTGCAGAGCCAAACACAACACCCCCAAGTCAAGACACAGGCTTGGGAGTCACATGTGGGTTTGAATCTCAACTCTGCCACTCTGAGTGACCTCGGGAAAGCCACTTCACTTCCCTGAGACTCAAGTTTCTTCGTCTGCAAAATGGGAACGACGAACAGCATCCACGTCGCAGGCTTGTTGTGAGGACCAAGTAAGGAAATACACGTGGTGTTAGAAGGTCCTCGGACAGACTGATGAAGACTGACTCCTCTCATACTTGACACAAAATTAAGAACAAGTGTGGGGGGGGTTGTGAGGAAGGCTCAGGGGACGTCCCCACGGCAGGTGCAGGGCTACCTTCCTCCTTCCTCTGCAGGGAGACAGGTGGGGTGAGCCCCGGCGGGGCGAGGGCGGGGAGGACTGGGTGTGGGGGCAGCCTGACTTCAAGGCCTTAAGGAAAGGAAGTCCAATGGCACCTCGTGGGCCTGAGTGGAGGACAGGATGGAGCGGCCCCCTGAGTACATTGATCCTCTGGGGACTGTTTTTTAAAAAGCTGGAAGAGGAGAAGGAAGGGAGGAATACTTCTTCCCGTGTGGCAACTGCAAGGGCATCGAGCTGCGTCCATCTAGGATTTCAGACCCAGCCGTCATGGGGCTGCTGCCAGGGGAAGCCACTACCCCCTTCCTTCTCCTCGGCACGGGAGTTATAAAAATACCTACAAACTGTAAGAAAGGCCATGTAAAAACACTTTTCTGCATGTATAAAAAAGAGACTGGCCGTGGTCAATGGCTCAGGGTGTGGCCCAAAGCCCCCGCGTGGCTGAGGAGAGTCAGCGGCCACCCACCGTCAGCCTCGGTCTGGGGCAGCCGGGGCCAGGAGGCTGTGTTCTTCGGCTGGGCTGTCCTCCCGTGGGTCGGGGCCCGGGATAGGCCATGGGAGGGTACCGAGTCCCCTCGGTGGACCCCCTTGCTAAAGGTGGAGCCTGCCTTACAGCGCACTGCCCGGCCGCCGCCCCCCCCCCCCCTCGCAAGTCCCGACCTCAGCGCTGGGCCCCGGCACTGGGTGAGTGGCGTGGCCTGGGCGCAGCGTGGTCTCCACTTCTGAAGGAGCGTCTGCCCAGAGGCTCCAGAAGGCTGTCTCCAGCTGACACTGACCCCAGCTGGGGACATCAGGCACGGGAGGACAGCTTGGGGCACGGCCAGGAAAGAAGGCTCTAGACAAATAGAAGTGCTGCTGCCAGGGCAGCCTGGCCCCCTGGCCGGTGCTTCCTGATGTTTTGGGGCCTGGGAGCGAAAGCAAGGAGAGAGAGAGCGGTGGCCCTGTGTTCCCTGCCCACTCCTCTCTCCTGTTCTTCACCTCACAAGGGCCTGGACTATGTGACTGGCCAGGTGACGTCCAAGGAGATAACCCAGGCCCCGATCTGGGACGGGGTCCCAAGCAGCTTCTGGAGCCAGATGGGTAGGAAAGGCCGATGGTGGCAGCCAGAGCTAGAGGCTGATCCACCTGGTCAGCCCAGGTACCCCCCATCTACCACCACCATGGGGCAAAGCTGGGATGGCCACCCTCAGTCGACCTCGGACTCACAAGGTGGCCTACGAGTGGGGCGGGGTAGGGCAGAGTCTGACGTGTGTCCTGGGCTGTGGACCACTCTGGCTCTGGGCCATGAGGGCCTGTCCCTGTCACCCCCAGCAGGCTGTCTAGGGCTGGAGCAGGGGCAGGCCACGCCGGAGTCCCTCTTTCAAGAACTGCATGTAGGTGGCCGTGGACGGGTCTTCAAAGGTGGACGAGAAGCTGAAGACGTTGTTCTCGACGTCCTCGGGCTTCATGGAGGTGATGTCCAGGAAGTAGTTGGCATTGATGTGGTGGACCTGGGAGAAGGGCTGGGTGAGGGGAGCGGGGCGGGGGGTCCCCAGGTTCCCTGTGCCCTCTGCCCTCTGCTCTATGGCTGCTCGTGCTGTCCCGAGAGAAGCAGCCACTCTCGAGCCTTGGCGTCCTTGCTCCGAGGGAGGAGACAGGCGCGCGGTGCTGCCGTGAGCTCACCAGATCCCGACCCCAGGGCTGCCTCTGGGGCCCTGACTTGGAGCTCCTCCCCCCTTGTCCCTTAGGCGAAACCTAACTCCTTCCAACATCCTTTTCCACTACCCCTCCGCCCCCTGTCCCCCAAAATGACTTCTCTCTCCTCTGTTCCTGTGACCTCTGAACATTTTGACTTCTGCCAAAATGCCCACACATGGACGGCCTGATTCCTGCCCGTCCCCGCTTCAGTAGCGAGCTCCTTAGGGCAGAGCTGCGTCTCTGTCTTTGTGCAAAGAGCCTGGCACCGAGCAGGTGCCCAGGACAGGGACAGATGAGTGGATGAGCAAACGCACCGACAGGAGAGCCGGGGACTGCGTGTCAGACAGAGTCCCCAGGCAGGGTCCCGTCTGCCATCTCTGTGTCCGCAGGTCCTGGGCTGGCTCCAGCACGGGAGCCAGTGGAGGGGAGCGAGGGGCTTGGCCCCAGCCTCCAGGCCACTCCTCCCCGTTCCCCACACCGAGTCATCACCCTGAGCCCGGGACAGCAGAAGCCTCCTGCTGGCGCCCTTTCCTCCGCACAAGCCCTCGCTGGACTCGCTGGACGCCTCTCCCGTGCCAGCCCCAGCTCCTGCTCCCAGACTGCGCCCGCCCTGGGGTCCCAAGGAGGGTGCCACCCTCCTACAGCCCCGAGTCCCACCCTGACCACACCCTGCGACCTCAGGGTAAGGGGCAGCTTCAATCAGAAGAGCAGGAGATCTGAGGCTCATGGGGAGGCCTGGGTTCAAAACCAGCCGCACTTAATTGTCTGCAACTTTTGCCAAGTCTGAACCTTTTTGAGTCCTGTGTCCCTTGTTTGTAAGTGGGCGTTTGTGATCATCCAGCTCCCAAAGCTGCAGTGAGGCCCCAGTGAGTGGCATGTAAAAGGGGCCCATAGAGAGAGATGGGGTCTTGAACCCTGGTCCTCTCTGTCCCAAGGCCCGGCTCCTCCCTCTCCTTCCATCCCAGGGCTTCCCTTCTGGGCCACGTTTCCGTCCACGGAGCCTGTGTCACGTGGGGATGTGTGGGCCGTGCTACTGGACAACGCTCACTGATGCATAGTCCCCAAGCACAACTCCCACATCACGATTCCTATTCATAGACGCGATAACCGAGGCCCAACCGGGTTAGGAGGCCAGCTGGGGACTTCACAGCCAGGAAGCGTTAGAGCCTGCGGTGCCTGGCCCAGGCGGGGGCGGGGGCGCCTACCACAGTGCCATTGGGCAGGCAGATCAGCATCTCCACGGGGAAGCTGTACTTCTCCAGGTGCAGGCCGGCCAGCTTCTTGTGGGACGCGTTCTCCTGGTTATTCTGCGGGGACAGGTGGCACACTCCTCATGCCTCGGTCCCCTCACTGTTCTAGGTCTACCACAGGGCGGCTCCTGCCCACCGGCCCGCTCACCTGCAGCTCCTCCAGCTCCTTCACCAGGGACCAGGTGCTGATGAAGCTCTCATTAAGGAGGGCGAGGATGGGCGAACTTTCCAGGACCGTCTCCCGGAGAGTCCGCCCCGAACCTGTTCAGGGAGAGGAAAAGACCAGAAGGGTGAGGAGCCCCCACGTCTTACTCGGAATTTCAACCAGCAATAATCTTGCTCTGGGTAAACCTCCTGGCTGGAGAACGGTCTCGGCACCCAGGTGAAATAACAGATTCAAAGAACCTGCCATGGAGTAGGTGCTGAATAGATGGTAGCTGAAATCAATATCAATACTATTCTGGCATCCTGGGCTGAGATTTGGAGTAGGGGTTCTATCCGTCCCAGGGGCTTGTAGCCAGTGACAACTTCTTAAATCCATTGAACTCTCTGTGCCCCAGGGCCTTTGCACAGACTGTTCCTCTACCCAGACACTCTTCCTCCTGTCACTTAGCAAACTCCTACTCATCCTTCAAAGTCTCAGCTTAAATGTCTCTTTCTCCAGGAAGACTTCCCTGACCCCCCAGTTGTACAGTCTTTGTGCCACTCTGGGCTCGTACTTATTCATCCAATGCCTGTCTTCTACACTCCACTGGGTGCTCCCTGAGGGCAGGGACCCTTCTGGCATCCCTCCTCTCAGTGCACACCAGCGCCTGGCCTCCCACTACGCAGGTTTGTACCCACTGCTGGACACCCAGAGAACTTTGCATTTAGCCAGTCTTTGATGAATTTTCCCAATAAGGCCATGCAATGCCAGCCTCCGGCACTGTTTTTTTCCTTTTTATTAAAATTATTTTAAGTAACCATGCCGAGAACGTTGGCACTGTTTTCTCTCTCACTCGTGGATAGCACTTTACAGAGTACCAGGCCCTTTCGTGGCCATGACCACCACTCTGGGAGGGAAGTATGTTACCCCCTTTTACTGTGGACCAAACTGAGGCTCAGGGAGGAAAAGTTACTTGGTCAAGGTTACCAAGCTGGAAGGGGCTGAGTTTGAACCCAGTCTTCTAGGGCCCTTTCTTCTGCATCCAGTAGCTTCCTCTGGGTTCAGCATAGAAACCCCCAAGACCCCACCCCACGCTCCTGCCCTGAGTGGTCCCATGTCTGTCATGGCTCCAACAGGACAGTCCTGTTGGTCTCAGAGCCTCCTGCACCCGACAAGCCGTGGCGTTCCCCCTTTCCCTCAGAACGGGCTGGCCCTCACCTCAGCAGGACTGGTCGTCCAGGGCCCCCCACAGCAGGATCGAGTGCACCAGCTTGTGCTCGGCCTGGGCTCGGTCGAAGGCCTCGGCGAACGGCAGGTAGGTGACCTGGGGCCAAGCCGAGACAGAGGGAAGCTACTGTGCTCGGCTGGGTCCCACCTGGGCGGTGAGTGTGCAGCGAGTGTGTGTGTCTGTGTGCATGTGTGTGAGGGGGACACTTCCTCCAAGCGCTGGATGGCAGAGGGAGGACCAGTGGACACAGGCTGCGGTGCCCGTGCCCACCTGCCGCTCCACAGCCCGGCTCTGGCCTTCGCCCCTGCCCAGCCTCACCTTCTTGAAGGGATACATGGCCACCTCCAGGCGCCGGGCAGCCTCCTCCCAGCTCAGCTCCTGCTGCCACTCGATCTCCTCAAACACGAACTGGAGGGGCTCACCCGAGGGCAGGCGGCTGTCGATCATGTTCCCGTCTTCATCTAAGATCATGGAGGGCACCGAGGGGCCCGTGGCCTCCAGCTCCATCTGGGCCAGAGGTCAGTGGTGAGGCACGCCTCAGACGGGCAGGAAGCATCACGGGGTACTGAGGGACCCTCGAGGATAGCCACTCATGCAGAGGCGGGCAGGTGGGAGGCGGGGAAGGGTAGGGCCCTGCAGCTGGGCCTACCTGGGTGGGAACTACCTGCGTGCTCACCTGGGGTACGTAGCCGATGTCCACCTCCATGTTGCTGCTTTCGCTGGCCCCGTACAGCCACTCCATGTCCACGTTCAGGGACCTGGGGACGGCCAGGGCAGAGCAACATCACCGTCAGAGCCCATTAACCATGTCAGACTTTATTTTCCTTAGGCCACACGACAGTCCCCATTCTATGGATGAGAGGACGGAGGCTTTGCAAGGCCAATCCCCATTCTCAGAGCCAGCGGGACTTGGGCTGCAGAGCCCGGGCTCTCACCCCTCCCAGGCCGCCTCTCCTAGCGCACTGGAACCACATGGCCCCCCACTGCCCAGCCCCTTCCAGTTCACAAGGCTGTCACGGTCACTCTCATGTACTGCCCACGACCCTTCGAGGCAGAGAGATGGTCCGTGCCTCTCCGCAGGACACAGAGTGGGCACTGCTGTCCCTGCGGCTCCTCTGCTCCCTCTCCAGCCTCCAGGACAGCAGGGGTCTGGCCTGATCGGTGCGATCTGCAGATTCGCCACACGGGGGAGCCCCAGGACTGACAACCACCCGCAGCCACTGCAGGCAAAGCAGGGCAGGCATGCCGGGTGCCCTCAGAGCGGATGGGCAGTCCCCATGGCCTCAGACACAGGCCCAGGAGCAGCCGGTCCCCGGGCCAATCGCTGCCTCTCTCTTTCTGTCCTATCTCCTCTAGGGCCCCCTCCCCATCTCCCACCCAAACTACCCTGGGTCAGACGCAGGTGTGCCTCTCTCCCCAGGCTGTGTGGACCGTCCCTTCCTGCTCTGTGGGTGAAACAGGCCAGGAGTTAGTCTCCCATCTGGCAGATGGGGAAACTGAGGCACAAGGAGGGCCAGGGCTTTGCCCACAGCCATGCAGCCTATTGATGCATGGCTGAGATTTACCAATGGGCCTCCTGGCTCCCAGCCCAGGTCTTGTCCCTGTACAGGGGTCACTCAGGCCCGTGAGACAGCCACTTGGTATCAGGGAAGAATCTGGAAAAACGTGAAGCCAGAGCCTCCTGGGTCCCCTGCTCTGCTGACAGGTGGCTAACTGAGCAGGTCAGGCAGACAGGCAGGTGGCGGGCACAGAGCTGTCCCAGAAGCCCTTCCAGGGCCCCGCGGCTGTGGAGGGCCTATTCCTGGCCTTTGCGTGTGCTGTTGTTCCCTCTGCCTGGCTAAACCCTCCCAACTGCAGGGCTCTGCTTAGATGCCGCTTCCTCTGGGAAGCCTTCCTGGATCCTGACCAGCCGGGTCCCTGCCCACCTGCTGGTGTCCCCTCGGCACGAGCAGGCTGTGGGTGTCTGTCTGTCTGGGGTCTGTCAGCAGTACGAAGGGGGGAGGCAGCAGCTTCAGGGAGGGGCTGCTGGCTGCTCACTGGGTCCCAGGCACGGAGGGAGGGCCAGGCCCACAGAGGGCCTGGGAGATGCTGGCTGGGTGGTGGGGTGACCCCCAGCCTGCCCTGTGCTGCCTGCTCCTGGGTAAGCTCCCAGCTGGCTCCGGAGGCCTCTGCTTCTGAGCTCCTGGAGCCGGGGACAGGACACATTGCGGCAGGGTGCCCAGGCTGGGCCAGGCCAAAGTTGTCACCTGTGGTTGGGCACGAAGAGCCGGAAGTCACGGACGTGGGTGGCATCTTTGGAGAGGATGACGTGGCCGGTGAACTGGCCAGGGGAGAACCAAAAGGGGAAGTCAGGCGGCTCGCTGAGCTGGAACTCGGCGTGGATCCTGCAGGGAAGGGCACCTGCTGGCCAGAGCCACCCCGTCTCCCCAGAGCCTGGGGGTCCTTGGCTGGACTCCCTCGTGGAGGAGAGGGCAGGGGAGGAAGGGGTGCATGGGCTGGGGAGCAGGTGTGCACCCCTCCAAATGCTGCTCATCCTTCAAGCCCAGCCCGGAAGCCTTGCTTTGAGCCTCCCGAGAGTTCCCGCAGCTTCTAGCCAGTGTGCGTGTCCGGGTGTCCCTGCCCCCTTCTATGCGGATGACACAATCACGGCCACCAGCCCCTGCAAAGCACAGCTTTTCTCTCTGAATTCTCATGTGCCCTACAAGGGTACACCAATGAGGAAACTGAGGCCTGGAGAACCAAAGCCGCTTGCCCGAGACCACAGGCGGGGAAGTGGTGGAGTTGGGGGCCTCAAGCCGGGTCCCCCTCCTAGTGTGGTGCCCTTTGTGCTGCCCTGAAGTCCCAGGCTGGGCTGCGAGGACCCTCACCGGAACATCACAGTGTAGTAGAAGCTGCTGATGGCCGTCAGGCAGGCCACGGCCCCCTGAGGGGCAAAGCGGGTCTTCACGAAGGGCCGAGGGTGGAACATGCTCAGGAGCCGGTGGATGATGACCTGGGGGACAGAGTACAGACCGCACTGGCTTAAAAAGTACTTGGTCAACGGTTACCAAGCTGGAAGGGCTGAGTTTGAACCCAGTCGTTCCAGGGCCCTTTCTTCTGCATCCAGTAGCTTCCTCTGGGTTCGCATAGAAACCCCCCAAGACCCCACCCCACCCCCTGCCCTGAGTGGCCCATGTCTGTCATGGCTCCAACAGGACAGTCCTGTTTCTCAGAGCCTCCTGCACCCACAAAGCCGTGGCCGTTCCCCTTGCCCTCAGAACGGGCCGGCCTCACCTCAGCAGGACTGGCGTCCAGGGCCCCCACAGAGAGCAGGATCGAGTGCACCATGCTTGTGCTCGGCCTGGGCTCGGTCGAAGCCTCGGCGAGACGGCAGGTAGGTGACCTGGGGCCAAGCCGAGACAGAGGGAAGCTACTGTGTGCCCGTGGGTCCCACCTGGGCGGCTGAGTGTGCAGCGAGTGTGTGTGTCTGTGTGCGTGTGGTGAGGGGAACACCTCCTCCAAGCGCTGGATGGCAGAGGGAGAGACCAGTGGGCACAGGCTGCGGTGCCCGTCTGCCACCTGCCGTTCCACAGCCGGCTCTGGCCTTCGCCCCTGCCCGCCTCACCTTCTTGAAGGGATACATGGCACCTCCAGGCGCCGGGCGGCTCCTCCCAGCTCAGCTCCTGCTGCCACTCGATCTCCTCAAAACGAACTGCGAGGCGGCTCACCCGAGGGCAGGCGGCTGTCGATCATGTTCCCCGATGCTCGGTCCAGGGATCATGGAGGGCACCGAGGGCGCCCGTGGCCTCCCTCCATCTGGGCCGAGGGTCGCGGTGAGGCACGCCCCTGTGCCCTCTGCCCTCTGCTCTATGGCTGCTCGTGCTGTCCCGAGAGAAGCAGCCACTCTCGAGCCTTGGCGTCCTTGCTCCGAGGGAGGAGACAGGCGCGCGGTGCTGCCGTGAGCTCACCAGATCCCGACCCCAGGGCTGCCTCTGGGGCCCTGACTTGGAGCTCCTCCCCCCTTGTCCCTTAGGCGAAACCTAACTCCTTCCAACATCCTTTTCCACTACCCCTCCGCCCCCTGTCCCCCAAAATGACTTCTCTCTCCTCTGTTCCTGTGACCTCTGAACATTTTGACTTCTGCCAAAATGCCCACACATGGACGGCCTGATTCCTGCCCGTCCCCGCTTCAGTAGCGAGCTCCTTAGGGCAGAGCTGCGTCTCTGTCTTTGTGCAAAGAGCCTGGCACCGAGCAGGTGCCCAGGACAGGGACAGATGAGTGGATGAGCAAACGCACCGACAGGAGAGCCGGGGACTGCGTGTCAGACAGAGTCCCCAGGCAGGGTCCCGCCTGCCATCTCTGTGTCCGCAGGTCCTGGGCTGGCTCCAGCATGGGAGCCAGTGGAGGGGAGCGAGGGGCTTGGCCCCAGCCTCCAGGCCACTCCTCCCCGTTCCCCACACCGAGTCATCACCCTGAGCCCGGGACAGCAGAAGCCTCCTGCTGGCGCCCTTTCCTCCGCACAAGCCCTCGCTGGACTCGCTGGACGCCTCTCCCGTGCCAGCCCCAGCTCCTGCTCCCAGACTGCGCCCGCCCTGGGGTCCCAAGGAGGGTGCCACCCTCCTACAGCCCCGAGTCCCACCCTGACCACACCCTGCGACCTCAGGGTAAGGGGCAGCTTCAATCAGAAGAGCAGGAGATCTGAGGCTCATGGGGAGGCCTGGGTTCAAAACCAGCCGCACTTAATTGTCTGCAACTTTTGCCAAGTCTGAACCTTTTTGAGTCCTGTGTCCCTTGTTTGTAAGTGGGCGTTTGTGATCATCCAGCTCCCAAAGCTGCAGTGAGGCCCCAGTGAGTGGCATGTAAAAGGGGCCCATAGAGAGAGATGGGGTCTTGAACCCTGGTCCTCTCTGGCCCGGCTCCTCCCTCTCCTTCCATCCCAGGGCTTCCCTTCTGGGCCACGTTTCCGTCCACGGAGCCTGTGTCACGTGGGGATGTGTGGGCCGTGCTACTGGACAACGCTCACTGATGCATAGTCCCCAAGCACAACTCCCACATCACGATTCCTATTCATAGACGCGATAACCGAGGCCCAACCGGGTTAGGAGGCCAGCTGGGGACTTCACAGCCAGGAAGCGTTAGAGCCTGCGGTGCCTGGCCCAGGCGGGGGCCGGGGCGCCTACCACAGTGCCATTGGGCAGGCAGATCAGCATCTCCACGGGGAAGCTGTACTTCTCCAGGTGCAGGCCGGCCAGCTTCTTGTGGGACGCGTTCTCCTGGTTATTCTGCGGGGACAGGTGGCACACTCCTCATGCCTCGGTCCCCTCACTGTTCTAGGTCTACCACAGGGCGGCTCCTGCCCGCCGGCCCGCTCACCTGCAGCTCCTCCAGCTCCTTCACCAGGGACCAGGTGCTGATGAAGCTCTCATTAAGGAGGGCGAGGATGGGCGAACTTTCCAGGACCGTCTCCCGGAGAGTCCGCCCCGAACCTGTTCAGGGAGAGGAAAAGACCAGAAGGGTGAGGAGCCCCCACGTCTTACTCGGAATTTCAACCAGCAATAATCTTGCTCTGGGTAAACCTCCTGGGCTGGAGAACAGTCTCGGCACCCAGGTGAAATAACAGATTCAAAGAACCTGCCATGGAGTAGGTGCTGAATAGATGGTAGCTGAAATCAATATCAATACTATTCTGGCATCCTGGGCTGAGATTTGGAGTAGGGGTTCTATCCGTCCCAGGGGCTTGTAGCCAGTGACAACTTCTTAAATCCATTGAACTCTCTGTGCCCCAGGGCCTTTGCACAGACTGTTCCTCTACCCAGACACTCTTCCTCCTGTCACTTAGCAAACTCCTACTCATCCTTCAAAGTCTCAGCTTAAATGTCTCTTTCTCCAGGAAGACTTCCCTGACCCCCCAGTTGTACAGTCTTTGTGCCACTCTGGGCTCGTACTTATTCATCCAATGCCTGTCTTCTACACTCCACTGGGTGCTCCCTGAGGGCAGGGACCCTTCTGGCATCCCTCCTCTCAGTGCACACCAGCGCCTGGCCTCCCACTACGCAGGTTTGTACCCACTGCTGGACACCCAGAGAACTTTGCATTCAGCCAGTCTTTGATGAATTTTCCCAATAAGGCCATGCAATGCCAGCCTCCGGCACTGTTTTTTTCCTTTTTATTAAAATTATTTTAAGTAACCATGCCGAGAACGTTGGCACTGTTTTCTCTCTCACTCGTGGATAGCACTTTACAGAGTACCAAGCCCTTTCGTGGCCATGACCACCACTCTGGGAGGGAAGTATGTTACCCCCTTTTACTGTGGACCAAACTGAGGCTCAGGGAGGAAAAGTTACTTGGTCAAGGTTACCAAGCTGGAAGGGGCTGAGTTTGAACCCAGTCTTCCAGGGCCCTTTCTTCTGCATCCAGTAGCTTCCTCTGGGCTCAGCATAGAAACCCCCAAGACCCCACCCCGCACCCCTGCCCTGAGTGGTCCCATGTCTGTCATGGCTCCAACAGGACAGTCCTGTTGGTCTCAGAGCCTCCTGCACCCGACAAGCCGTGGCGTTCCCCCTTTCCCTCAGAACGGGCTGGCCCTCACCTCAGCAGGACTGGTCATCCAGGGCCCCCCACAGCAGGATCGAGTGCACCAGCTTGTGCTCGGCCTGGGCTCGGTCGAAGGCCTCGGCGAACGGCAGGTAGGTGACCTGGGGCCAAGCCGAGACAGAGGGAAGCTACTGTGCTCGGCTGGGTCCCACCTGGGCAGTGAGTGTGCAGCGAGTGTGTGTGTCTGTGTGCGTGTGTGTGAGGGGGACACCTCCTCCAAGCGCTGGATGGCAGAGGGAGGACCAGTGGGCACAGGCTGCGGTGCCCGTGCCCACCTGCCGCTCCACAGCCCGGCTCTGGCCTTCGCCCCTGCCCAGCCTCACCTTCTTGAAGGGATACATGGCCACCTCCAGGCGCCGGGCGGCCTCCTCCCAGCTCAGCTCCTGCTGCCACTCGATCTCCTCAAACACGAACTGGAGGGGCTCACCCGAGGGCAGGTGGCTGTCGATCATGTTCCCGTCTTCATCTAAGATCATGGAGGGCACCGAGGGGCCCGTGGCCTCCAGCTCCATCTGGGCCAGAGGTCAGTGGTGAGGCACGCCTCAGACGGGCAGGAAGCATCACGGGGTACTGAGGGACCCTCGAGGATAGCCACTCATGCAGAGGCGGGCAGGTGGGAGGCGGGGAAGGGTAGGGCCCTGCAGCTGGGCCTACCTGGGTGGGAACTACCTGCGTGCTCACCTGGGGTACGTAGCCGATGTCCACCTCCATGTTGCTGCTTTCGCTGGCCCCGTACAGCCACTCCATGTCCACGTTCAGGGACCTGGGGACGGCCAGGGCAGAGCAACATCACCGTCAGAGCCCATTAACCATGTCAGACTTTATTTTCCTTAGGCCACACGACAGTCCCCATTCTATGGATGAGAGGACGGAGGCTTTGCAAGGCCAATCCCCATTCTCAGAGCCAGCGGGACTTGGGCTGCAGAGCCCGGGCTCTCACCCCTCCCAGGCCGCCTCTCCTAGCGCACTGGAACCACATGGCCCCCCACTGCCCAGCCCCTTCCAGTTCACAAGGCTGTCACGGTCACTCTCATGTACTGCCCACGACCCTTCGAGGCAGAGAGATGGTCCGTGCCTCTCCGCAGGACACAGAGTGGGCACTGCTGTCCCTGCGGCTCCTCTGCTCCCTCTCCAGCCTCCAGGACAGCAGGGGTCTGGCCTGATCGGTGCGATCTGCAGATTCGCCACACGGGGGAGCCCCAGGACTGACAACCACCCGCAGCCACTGCAGGCAAAGCAGGGCAGGCGTGCCGGGTGCCCTCAGAGCGGATGGGCAGTCCCCATGGCCTCAGACACAGGCCCAGGAGCAGCCGGTCCCCGGGCCGATCGCTGCCTCTCTCTTTCTGTCCTATCTCCTCTAGGGCCCCCTCCCCATCTCCCACCCAAACTACCCTGGGTCAGACGCAGGTGTGCCTCTCTCCCCAGGCTGTGTGGACCGTCCCTTCCTGCTCTGTGGGTGAAACAGGCCAGGAGTTAGTCTCCCATCTGGCAGATGGGGAAACTGAGGCATAAGGATGGCCAGGGCTTTGCCCACAGCCATGCAGCCTATTGATGCATGGCTGAGATTTACCAATGGGCCTCCTGGCTCCCAGCCCAGGTCTTGTCCCTGTACAGGGGTCACTCAGGCCCGTGAGACAGCCACTTGCTATCAGGGAAGAATCTGGAAAAACGTGAAGCCAGAGCCTCCTGGGTCCCCTGCTCTGCTGACAGGTGGCTAACTGAGCAGGTCAGGCAGACAGGCAGGTGGCGGGCACAGAGCTGTCCCAGAAGCCCTTCCAGGGCCCCGCGGCTGTGGAGGGCCTATTCCTGGCCTTTGCGTGTGCTGTTGTTCCCTCTGCCTGGCTAAACCCTCCCAACTGCAGGGCTCTGCTTAGATGCGGCTTCCTCTGGGAAGCCTTCCTGGATCCTGACCAGCCGGGTCCCTGCCTACCTGCTGGTGTCCCCTCGGCACGAGCAGGCTGTGGGTCTGTCTGTCTGGGGTCTGTCAGCAGTACGAAGGGGGGAGGCAGCAGCTTCAGGGAGGGGCTGCTGGCTGCTCACTGGGTCCCAGGCACGGAGGGAGGGCCAGGCCCACAGAGGGCCTGGGAGATGCTGGCTGGGTGGTGGGGTGACCCCCAGCCTGCCCTGTGCTGCCTGCTCCTGGGTAAGCTCCCAGCTGGCTCCGGAGGCCTCTGCTTCTGAGCTCCTGGAGCCGGGGACAGGACACATTGCGGCAGGGTGCCCAGGCTGGGCCAGGCCAAAGTTGTCACCTGTGGTTGGGCACGAAGAGCCGGAAGTCACGGACGTGGGTGGCATCTTTGGAGAGGATGACGTGGCCGGTGAACTGGCCAGGGGAGAACCAAAAGGGGAAGTCAGGCGGCTCGCTGAGCTGGAACTCGGCGTGGATCCTGCAGGGAAGGGCACCTGCTGGCCAGAGCCACCACCATCTCCCCAGAGCCTGGGGGTCCTTGGCTGGACTCCCTCGTGGAGGAGAGGGCAGGGGAGGAAGGGGTGCATGGGCTGGGGAGCAGGTGTGCACCCCTCCAAATGCTGCTCATCCTTCAAGCCCAGCCCGGAAGCCTTGCTTTGAGCCTCCCGAGAGTTCCCGCAGCTTCTAGCCAGTGTGCGTGTCCGGGTGTCCCTGCCCCCTTCTATGCGGATGACACAATCACGGCCACCAGCCCCTGCAAAGCACAGCTTTTCTCTCTGAATTCTCATGTGCCCTACAAGGGTACACCGATGAGGAAACTGAGGCCCGGAGAGCCAAAGCCGCTTGCCCGAGACCACAGGCGGGGAAGTGGTGGAGTTGGGCGCCTCAAGCCGGGTCCCCCTCCTAGTGTGGTGCCCTTTGTGCTGCCCTGAAGTCCCAGGCTGGGCTGCGAGGACCCTCACCGGAACATCACAGTGTAGTAGAAGCTGCTGATGGCCGTCAGGCAGGCCACGGCCCCCTGAGGGGCAAAGCGGGTCTTCACGAAGGGCCGAGGGTGGAACATGCTCAGGAGCCGGTGGATGATGACCTGGGGGACAGAGTACAGACCGCACTGGCTTGCTGGGCCCTGGGGCGGGCAGGGCATGTCCAGGGGGAGGTAGGACAGCAGGTGGGGCAGGCCTGGCACCGGGGTCCAGGCACAGACAGGGAGGGGCCCCTACTGGGCTGGGGCAGAGGCCCTGGGTCCCATCACGCTGCTGTCACCTCCTTGCCCTTGGGTGGCGGCGGGTAGAAGCGGTTGTTGGACAGATAGCCAGTGAAGACGCTCAGCTCGCTGGGGATGATCCACCAGGGCTCGCCCAGCTCCTGGCCCGCAGGGGGGAGGAAGGGCTGGAAGTGGCGCGCGGCGAACACTGCACTTGGCAAGGCTGCGGTCGTCCAGTTGCGGAGGCCGGACAGGGCGAGGTGCGAGACCTGGGCGGGGAAAGCCGAAGCTCTGGGGCACCGAGAACCCCGACTCTGGGGTCTCCTGTCCCATGTGTGGGTGGAGGTCTCCCTTGAGCCCTGAGCCAGCCCACAGGCCACAGAAGCAGAGGGACCCTGGAGAGGCTCCTGCCCTGGTGACGACCACAAGCTTGGAAACATCTTGCCAGACAATGGCTCATCACACCCTCTCCGGCCCCAGCCCAAGAAGCAGATCCTCAGCGGCCCACCCAGGTGCAGTCCCCCCCAGAGCAGCTGCTCCAGGGCAGGGAGCTGAGGGAGGGGCCAGGGGGCCACCCAGGAGTGGGGGCGGGTGGAGCTCTGAGCCTCACATGCTCCTGCCTCCATCCTTGGCTTGGCCGGCAGAACAACTTCTATGCTGCCCGGCTTCCTCACCCCTCCACTGGCCTTGCTCTCCACCCCTACCCCCTCTCTTTGTCTGCTCCAGGGGCCGGTGTCCCACTGGTGAGCTCGGAGTCTGGGTCTGGAACGGAGTCTGGGGAGCGGGCAGGTAACATGTTGTGGATGAAGTTTCTAGGGTCAATGATGAGACCACAGAGGAGGGGAAGAATGCCCCCCCCCAGAGGGCCCTGCCTCAGGTGCAGCCCGGCCCGTGCTGGCCGGGCCCTGCGAGCTAAAGGCCTTCCCTCAGCCCGCGTCCTTGCCCCAGGCCTCTGTCTGGTGAGCTGATGGGCAGTAGGGACAGGGCTTCAGAAACCTGTCCAGGTTCCATCCCCCTTCCCCGCCTCCATGGTGGAGGTGGGAGGACAGGTGTGCAGGGAGCTCCGGCTTAGAGGGATTTAACAGGCAGGCTCAGAGCCCACCCACCGGGTCCTGCTCCCAGGCTGCCACCCCTGCAGGGAGCTGTGGGTAAGGGCTCTGCGGGGCTCTGCAAGGGAGGGCCAGGGCTGGCAGTGCTGCTCCTGCCCTGTCCCCTGTGAGTGCATGTGTGGCCCAGGCACCTGCCCGCACTATTCTTGCTGCTCCATGCAGGACTCCTCTGCTCGGACAGGCCCATCGCTGCCAAACCCATCTTCACTCCAGACCTTTCCGTGGAAGGTCAAACCTGAATTTCTGACCACTTACTAGACTCTCCCCTGGACGTCCCCCGGGGAACTTTGACTTCAACATGTCCAGATTGACCCCATTCTCTCCCCCACCCCAGGCATTCCCATGCATCTGGGTAAGTGGCCTACCATGTACCTGGTCACCAGGTACCACTGGAAGCCAGAGTCCTCCCCGACTCCTCCCCACCCCCACTTCCCATCGCAGCCACGCCCTGCCTTTCCTTTCCCAGGACCCTCCGTGCAGGCTATGCCCTCCAGCACCAGTGCCCCCTCTGGGGACTGCTCTCCCTGCTACGCGCTGGCCCCCACCCCTCTGCCAGCCGGGAAGCCCAGATCTGATGAGAAAACTCTTCTTTAAACCTCTGCGATGGTACCCTACTGCTGCAGAACAAAGGCCAAAGGCAGGCAGCTTCTTTCCCAGCCCCACTGACGACGATGCCCCTGCACGTCCCGCATGACCAGGGTCTGGCCAAACCAGCCGTCTGGCCTCGCTGACTGCCCTGGCACTTCCTGCCTTCAGGCCTGTGTTCGTGTAAGTGGCCTTTTGGCCGAGGTATGGGCAGCGCAAAAAGACAGCCCCTGGCAGAGGGAACAGCACGTGAGAAGGCTCGAGGCTGGAAGACAGCGGGTGACTGGCCGGGGCAGGGAAGCCAAGAGAAGAGGGCAGGAGAGCTCACACGACAGGCAGGGTCTCAGGTGCCTTCGTCTGCGATGGGCTGCAGACCTTCCCCATGGGGCTTGGGTTAGGGGGTGCTGGTAAGGATAGCATTTGCCCAAACCCTACCCTCACCTCCTCAGGATTCTTTGTCACCCTGCATCCCCCGCCAGGGACCGAATCTTAGGTCTAGCTCATCAGAGTTCAGCAGAGGGCCTGTCAGGTACCAGACACCCTGCCAGAGGCCTGGGGGTAAAGGTGGCTGTGCAGAAAGTCATGATCGTCACAGGTGAGGCAGTGCATTCACAGGGTCTCACCTGCACTTGCATTTCCCTCCTCAGCACCCTCCTACGCCTGTGGTCAGCCGGGCTGAGCCCCCCTCGCCCTGCAGCCTGTCAGACACCACTCCCTCCAGGAAGCCGTCCCAGATCCCCTCATCTGGGGTGAGGCTGATGCTTCTGTCTCCTGCTCCCCCCAGACTGTGTGCCTGGACAGCAGGGATGGCCGCACACCCCAGGGACGCTGGGGCCTGGCATGGGCCCGGCTCGATGGGCACACAGAGGGCAGCAGACAGAGGAGGGACAGAGGAACAGAGCACAGACCCGCCCTCAGGAGGCCAGTGCTCAAAGGTGATCCTGCCGTCTGTGGGCCCACCCCCACCCTGAACTCACCCCGAGGAAGCCATCTTTGCTCTTGGTCATGGTCTCCAGGAGCAGAGGCTGGAATCGGGCTTCTATGGTGAGCGTCTCTTCACTGGGATCAGCGGGCAGCCCTTCGTCCTCGTAGCTGGCTGCAGGCGTTGACCCTGTGAGACACAGGCTACTAGAGAGGCCCTGCCCCCTGCCCCTGCCGCCTGCCCGCGGCCCTCCCCTCTCTCAGGACATCCACATCAGCTGGTGATTAAGGGAGCCAGGCCTGGAGCCCAGGTAATGGCTACCAATCGCCAAAGGAACAACCAGTGTATCACATTGTAGTTTTACAGTAGCCCCAGGAGGCAGATCACAACATTATTACCAACTCCTTTTACAGAGGAGAAAGCAGAGGCTCAGAGAAGTGACATCACTTCCCCAGGGGCACACAGCTAGGCAGTGCGGGAGTCAGGATTCAAACCCAGGCCTGTTTCACTCTACACCCACCATTAACCATGACCCGACCTGGGTCTCCTGGGACTGAGCGGGACTCAGTCGAGGGAATCCGGAATAATGAATCAAAGCGAGAAGCAGACTCAGGCTGTCTGCGGCGTCACGGAGCGCGGGTTTGGGACAGAGGAGACCCGCCTGTCTCTGCTTTTCTGGGTAGCTCACTGCCCCGTCTGTATAGGAAGGGGCCGGCTGAATTTGATGTCTCAGATCTTTTCCTGCTCAGAACTCTGACAATCTGCCGTCTTTCAAGTGTGGAGGTAGTCATTGTGAAGGTTGAAGGGAGAAATGAAGCCCATTTCAAAGAGGATGACTAATAGGCACCGATAACAGAATAAAGGGGTAGGTCTCATCCTGTCTGCGCCCCCGTGGCAGGGTCCTGGTGCGGAGACGACGCCTAGCGTGTGCAGACTCGCTGGCTCGCGGGCTGAGAGGATGCATTAGAAGCAGCTCTCAACCAGGGTGTCCTCAGAATCACCCAGGATGGCTCTTTAAACTGCAGAAGCCCAGAACCCTCCACGGACCTAGTGAATTGGAATCTAAAAGGACCAGAGTCAGGAAACTGCCCATTTAATTAGCGCTCCACAGCTGCTCCCAGGCAAACCCCTGTTCTAAAGATTCACTGTTATTTCTGCATGTGTAAGTCGGTGCAGGAGGACTTCCAAAACACACCACTCTGGAGATCTGAGAGGAAGGGGACAATAGGATGTGCAGGGTTACAAGTCTGCCTTGCCTATTCAATTATCTTACCGGTATTACAGATAATTATTAACAATGATACTCAACATTTTATAGCCCTTTGGCTTTCTAATAAAAAGTTTTATTTCCTGACTTATAGGTAACATTTGCTCAATACAGGCAATTTGTAAAATGTTTAAGGTGCAAGGCAGAAAAATTAAACACATTCATAACTCTACCAAATAGAACAGTTTGCCTCTATTTCCTGCTTGGATATGATTTTCCCTCCCTTTAATTTCTCAAAACTTGGTCCACTTTTGCACTCATAGCCTCGAGGTAATAACGGGATTCTTTTCCCCTGATAGAGAAAAAGATTTATGTGAAAAACATTTAAAGTGCCCTGAAGCCCAGCAGGCTTTGCTAACATGTCATTATGAGGGAACTCTCAGTCTCTGGCCATAAAGACATACAGAGGCGGCCGTGCTAATGTGCAGAGAAGTGTATGCAAATAAGAGGTAAAAGCAAAGCCACAGGGATGACCTGTTTATCCACCCGTCTGCTCTCACAACACAACTACCTGCCACTGAGACACTGACACACATGGATACCTATCCCTCCAGCAGATTAGCATTTTTCATCTGACCTTCCTTCTCTAGCGGCGATCACAGGTCGCTGGGTTACCCAACCCACGCCTGAAACACACAAGGCCCACAACCATCTTTGTTCTCACGCAGCGGAGAGCAGCTGGCCTCTGCTCCTGCCCTTCCCATCCATTGATTGACTTGTGCCACACACGCTGGGTAACAAGTAGGTGACCAAGAGCACAAGTTCAAGAATGTCATGACAAGTAGGAGGGAAATGGGCACAGAGTTGGGGAAGGGAGACAGTAAGAGAAGCATTTTATAATTCATTAGAATGTTTCCTACCTTCCTCTTTACCAAAACACACAAAAACAACAACAACAAAAACAAAAACACTGACTACAACTAGGCAAAATGAATAGCGAGAGTGGGACAGGGCCAGTGCGGTGGCTCATGCCTGTATTCCTAGCACTTTGGGAGGCCAAGGTGGGAGGATCACTTGAGGCCAGGAGTTCAAAACCAGCTCAGCAACATAGTGAGACCGTGTCTCTACAAAAAATTTTAAAAATTAGCTGGTGGCTCATGCTTGTAATCCTAGCACTCTAGGGAGGAAGTGGGAGGACTCTTTGAGCTCAGGAGTTTAAGACCAGCCTGAGCAAGAGTGAGACCCCATCTCTATGAAAAATAGAAAGAAATTAGCTGGACAACTAAAAATATATAGAAAAAATTAGCTGGGCATGGTGGTGCACACCTGTAGTCCCAGGTACTTGGGAGGATGAAGTAGAAGAATTGCTTGAGCCTAGGAGTTTGAGGTTGCTGTGAGCTAGGGCTGATGCCACTATATTCTAGCCCAGGCAACAGAGTGAGATTCTGTCTTAAAAAAAAAAAAAAAGAATGGGACACCAGTCTGACACCAGCTAAGCAGAGTTTCAGATGTAGTAGTAACAGTTATGGCTCCTGTTTATTGAATATCTGCTGCATATTGGTCACCCTACAGTGATTAGATTCTCTCTCATCCTCAAACCTGTGAGATGGTGCAGGATCCTGGAGCTAGAATACCCAGGTTATAGCCCGTGCTCCCCACCTTTCTAGCTTGGGCAAGTTGGTAAACCTGCCTGTGCCTTTGTCTCCCAAACTACAAACACAGGGGTCATGGCAGTGTCCATCTCACAGGGCTATTGTGAGGTTTAAGGAACACACCCACAGGAAGTGCTTAAAGTGATGTCTGGCATCTAGGAGGTGGCCAAGAAATGTTATTATGCACAAACATGAGGAAAACAGGCTCAGGGGTTCTCAAGCACACCCAAGCCAATAGCTAGAAAGTGCTAGAATGGAGAGGAGCCCAGGCCACAGAGACCCATGATCTTCCCTCCGTCCCAGCCACCAGCCTCTCGGGGTACCTGTCAGCTTCTCGGCAATGGGCTTGAACTCTTCGGGGCTGATGTACATATCCTGGTCAGTGTCCAAGGAAGAAAAGAGGAAAAGGCCTTCTGTCCCCAGGGCCTTCAGCGCAGATTCCTGCTTGGGAGGAAGGGACCAGGGCTGAGCATCGGCTGGATGCCAGTGTCTCCCTGTCCCCAAACGGGCAGCTGCTTCCTGATGGAGCAGCTCCCACCACCATCTTCCTGAGCTCTCTCAATACTTCCTGGTCCATCTACCAATGTCACCTCTGAACTGCCCCAGAGCCCCCAGTCCCCCTTGCAGCCCCTCCTGGTCCCTGCTTCATCTGCTGTCCGCTCTCTAAGCCCCTCCCAGTCTCCCCATCCCGGTTCTGTCCTACTTCTTGCACCCACTGTCGTCTCCTGTCTCTCCTCCCCACTGTCCCAGCTCCCTGGTGCCCCCCAGATTCTCCCAGTCCCAGCTTCACTCTATGACTTTGTGTCCACCGTCCAGGTCGGCTCTCTGGACTGCGCCCCTCCAGCCTGTCCCGGCTAAGCCTCACACCGGCCCATCTTTCGCGACCCTGCATCAGTCTTCCAAAGTCCCTCTGCCTCCCCGCCCACCCTTGCCGACCGCACCCCACCCCCATCAGGCCCCTCCCTCCACGTCCCCTCCATCCACGCCGGTCCGGGTCCCCGCCTGGCCACCCGGCCGGACTGCGCGCAGCCGCCTGGGCTCGGCGTGGCGGGCGCGCCGGACGGCGCGGCGGGCGGCGGCGGCGCAGCAGGCCCGAGCAGGCCAGGTGGCGGGCGCGCGGGCGGGCGGGCGCGGCGGCCGGGGCGGGCCGGGCTGGGCTGCGCCGCCGCGCTCGCCCGGCGGCCGGCCATGGCGGCGGCTCGCGGCGGCTCGGCGGCCGGACGCGACTGGCGGCCGCCGCGGGCGGGGCCGGGGCGGGCGGCCGAGCGCGGGCGGGTCTGCCGGGCGGCCCTGCGGACCCGGGCGGCGCCTGGCGCGGGGCTCGTCCGCAGTGGGCGCCGGTGGGTGCCGAGCGCGCCCGCGCCGCCCGCGGAGGACCGCCGGGCCCCTGCCCGCCTCTCCGCGCCTCCTTCCTGTTCCGCAGTTTCCCAAACCTAACGCAGGCCCTGCGGCCCGTCAGCTCCAGCCGCGGGATGGGACAAAGGAGGGCTGGGGCCGAGCGGCGGAGGGCCACACGTCCTGCGGGGTCCTGCGGGGTCCTGCGGGGAGGGCGCCAGGTGCACCTCCGTGGGCAGGTGCGAGGGAGGCCAGGGGAAGGCACAGCCTGTCCTCCAGCCGCTGAGGGCACCCACCTCCGTCCTTACCCCCCCTGGTTTCTAACATTTCTTAAGTCATCTACAAGGAACATAAAAAGAAATTCCTTCCCGATCGCCGTCCAGTTGGAGGGCCACTTCTGCAGTTGTCTCAGTTACGAGAACCACCTTTTCCCAGGCACAAGTGGTCCAGCCCCCAAGCCCTCCCCTCCTGGGCCCAGTGTCCTCATCCATAGGGAGGGGCGGGAAGGGGCCCTCCTGGGCATGGCGAGGCTGCAGAGGTTACCAGACACCCTCTCCCCTGCAGGAGGCATCCTTGGCGGGGGGCCTGCGGTAGGGGGTAGGTGGAGTTTGAGGAAACATTTTCTGTCAATCCCCAGGAGCCAGGTTCCTTGGGGGTCCCCTCCATTGTACCAAGGCCCCCAGGAGCCCCAGGGATGGCTCTGTCCGCAGTGTCCCAGGAGAGGGCGGCAGCTGCAGGAGCCTCTAGACAGCGACTCTGAGCCCAGGGAGCAAGTAGCCCCTGCCCTTGCAGATGCGACCCCCCAGTGCTTGTGCACCTGTCGGTCTTGGAACCTGGGGGGTCTGATGGGTACTAAACACCCAGTGTGTGTTGGACTTGGACTTGGGCGATTTACAATGTTGTCTCATTTTGTTCTAAAGCTGCCTGGAGAGGTAAGGGTTGCTTGCCTGAGCTCTGGCACCCAGGTACTCAGGTCTGTCTGTCACACGTCCCAGGGGATGGCCCAGCTGACTGACTTGGTGGCAGGAGGTTTGTCTCTAGGGACAATTCTTTTCTTTTTTTTTTGACACAGAGTCTCACTTTGTTGTCCAAGCTAGAGTGCTGTGGTGTCAGCCTAGCTCACAGCAATCTCAAACTCCTGGGCTCAAGCAATCCTCCTGCCTCAGCCTCCTGAGTAGCTGGGACTACAGGCATGCGCCACCATGTCCCCGCTAATTTTTCTATTTTTAGTAGAGATGGAGTCTCGCTCTTGCTCAGGCTGGTCTAAAATGCCTGACCTCGAGCGATCCTCCCACCTCGGCCTCCCAGAGTGCTAGGATTATAGGTGTGAGCCACTGCACCCAGCCAATTCTGTCCTTTGGTAGCCAGTGACGGCAGCACCATACAGGCAGGGCCCTGTCTTCCCAGTGCTGCACAGGGCTTGGCACATAATGAGCACTCTGCTGTGTGTTGGATGAATGACTCCCAGGGACCTTCCAGGGTTGTGGGCTCGACCCAGCCCTTGCCCTGTCCTCTGGCCCCATGTCCTCAGAGCGACCCACCAAGGGCCTGACATCTGGTGTCAAGATTTCCAAATGTGCCACTTCCACGTCATTATTGTTAATGTTTGGGGACACCCCGCATAGGACAGATGCTATTAGAAAACCAAATTCTGTTCTATCAGGAAGCAAACTAACAGAGCACAAAGCAGGTTGGGAGGGGAAGATTGATGAGCTAAGGCCCCTGGAAAATAAACAAGGGAAGTTTTCTTTGCCAGATTACGTTTATTTTTTACACTTGCTTTTTGTTAAAGACACAGATGTTCCACTGGTCCCTGCTGCCCAGCACTGAAGAGATGGGCTTCTGGGGCTTGCTGGGGTGGGGGTGCCTCTCAAAGCTCCACAGGGCGCAGAGCAGGGTGGGTTTGTGAGACTTGGCTCAGGTCAGCAAGGCTCTGGGAAGAGGACAGTCCTGAGGTCTGGAGTCCAGCTTTGAGGACAGTCAGCTCTGGGCACTGGCAGTGGGGCAGGGCCAGGTTCCTGCTGCTTGGCACCCTTCCCGGGAGGGCTTGTCTCCAAACCAAGACCCTGGGCAGATCAGAGATTTGAGAGATTGGGCCAGTGGGCAGTTCTAGCCAGGGATGGCCCTATAGAATATCTTTGCGACCTTTTTTCTGGATCCCCCCATGGGCAAGGGTGGCATTTGGGAACTGGCAGCACATGGAAACCACAGCAAGGTAAGTGATGCGTTGGTCATGACCTTGAGGATCTCGGAGGTTAGCAGGGAACTCATTCATCCGGTCAACAAATATTTATTGAGGGTCTACTATGCTTTGTTCTGGAGGTCAGGGGTCCATTGGAGAGCAAAGCAGACTTTCTGCTCTTCTAGACGAGTCAATGGACACCTCCTCCCCTGGGGTAAGCGCCCTGAGGGAGGGGGTGCACAGAGAAGGGTCCCCAGCTGTCAGGAGGGCTCAGAGGAGGCTTCACAGAGAGGAGGTCTGGCTGGGCCTTGAGTTCAGGAGGTTGCCAGTCACAGCAGCCAGGGAAGAACATTCCAGAGGGTGGGAACAGCAGAGGCAAAGGTCCAGGGGCATGAGCTGGAGTGTCCATGGCTTTTTCTCTCTCTCTCACGCACAAACCCTGCCAGCCCTCTGGGAGCAGCCTCTTCTGCCTCCTGTCTCCCTGGGGCACACTCGCTCCTGCAGGGGGCGCTGCTGCTCTCCAGGGAGTAAAATCCAATTAGGGTTTTGCGGTCCGGCTTTGCCAGGGACAGGCTTAAGCCAGGGAGAGGCTCATGTGGCTCTATTTTTTGTGTTTCTCTTTATCTGGGACCCTGGAGAGGCAGGTGATTTTCCCCAAACACAACCCCTAACATCTTGGCAGCCAATACTAGGACAAGCATTTGGGAGCAAAGGGTCTCTTGGGGAAACTGAGGCTTCTAGTGCCACTCTAGGAGTAGCTTAAGCCTGGACCACATGGGCCTCTCAAGGAACTAATTCCCTCCTATGTGCCAGGAGTGATTCTTGGCCTGGGAACACGGGAGTGAAGACAGACGAGGGATGTCCTCTCTTGGGGCTGAATATTCTACTAGGACTACAAGGGAGGCAATAGATACACAAACAAGGGCATTTCAGGGCATCCCGGGCAGAGAGAAGCGGGAATAGCAAGTGCAAAGGCCCTGAGGTGGAAACAAGCTTGGGGTGTTCAGGAAACACAAAGAAGCCATGGTGAGCTAAGGAGAGAGTAGCAGCAGAAAACTTGGTGACAGAGGCAGGGCATGAGAATCTCGCAGGCCATGGAACAAGCTTCATTTGAAATATGTTGTGATACCATTCAAAGGTTTTAAGCAGAAGGGTGACAACATGTGACTTTTTTTTTTTTTTGACTAGTCAAGAGCAGTAGCGAGAAGGGGGGACAGTAGTAGAACAAGGAGTTCAATCCGTAACTGACTGTGAACAATCAAGTGAGATAACTCACTACCTTCTCACCGGCCAATGACTTGTTTTTGTTTGTTTTTTTTTTTTTTTTAAAAAAAAAACTTTCTGATAGCCCCAGAGCAGAAAAAACCAAAATCTCCAGTGATGAATGGAAAAACAAAATATGGTGTATCCACGCAAAAGATATTAGTTGGCCATAGAAAGGACTGATGCTTGGACACTTGCTACAGCTGGGATAAGCCTTAGAACCCTTATGCTGAGTGACAGAAGCCAGACATGAAGACCACGTGATTCTATTTATGTGAAATGTCCAGAGAGGCAGAAAGTAGACCGGCGGCTGCCTGGGGCTGTGGAGGGAGGGAGCGACTGCTAATGGCTGTGAGTATTCTTTCTGGGGTGAGAAATGTTCTAAAATTAGCCTATGATGATGGTTGCACAACTCTGTGAATATACCAAAAAAATATGAATCGTACATCTTTTAAATGGGTGGATTTTATAGCATATAAATGATATCCCTGTAAAGATGTTTGGTGCTTGTTTTAAAAACCTTTCTGGTTTCTGGGCAGAGAATAGACTTAGGGCAGCGAGAGAGGAAGGAGGGAGGCAGGAGGCTAGTGGGGCCTCCCAGGCCTAAGGGGACAGGGGCCGGGGCTTGGTGGGGGTGGAGAGAGGTTGGAGGCGGCAGGGATGGACGGGGCCAGAGGCAGGACTTGCGGGTGGGTCAGAGGAGGATGGTGAGAAGCACAGTGTCAGCTCTGGGCTGGACCTCGGGTCGCTAGTGGCCTGTCCTGACACAAGGCAGCATGGTGGGTTGAGATGCGGGTTGAGACAGCGCCGTGTGAAGGAGGCAGCTGCGTGCGTGGGTCTGGAGCTGTGAGCTAAGGGGAAGTTAGGGCATGGGCTATAAATTTGGGAGTTGCCAGCCTAAAAATGACATTTAAAGCCACAGGATTCAATGAGATCATCAAAGGAGCGAAGAGAAGAAGCCTTTGGCCTGTGGGCCACAGATGCCACTGTGCCTTGGGGTGTTGAGCGCTTTGGCTGGATTCACAGGCATGGGGCTGTGGCTGTGATTAGCCAGAAAATAGATTAATTTTCGAGGTCGTGACAGGCTTGGCTTGGCACGCATACTGCTCAGGCTGGTGGAGAGATTTGTTTCCTGGGGTCAGGAAATGCCCCTGGGCTTCTGCCCAAATGGCCAGCTTTATTCTTGGCATTGTGGTGCAGAGGCCCTGGGTCATCTCGCCTGGCTGCCCACTGGTCGCCTGGGGCCTTTGCACCAGACCAGCACCCAGGGCCAACCCCAGCCGGTTGGGGGAGAGAGGGGCATCTTTACAAGCTCCTCCGTGGTTCTGATGCACAGCCAAGATGGAGAAAATGCAAAGACAGCCGAGTTCCACACGAGCTAGAAAAAATGAGTTTGACATTTGGGGACCTTCAAATGGTCAGTGCTAGGCCCAGGCAGATGGCGCTGGATGAACTGCCCTGAATTCTGCTCCTCTTGTCTTGAACTGGGGCTGGGGCCAGGGCCATCAGCCATCCTGCCTGCTGAGGGCTGATGGGGCTCCTAGAGTGTGGGATACTCGGTGCTAAAAGCAAGAAAGTCAAAACCGGGATAAGCTGGTCACCCACACAAGGGAGGGACATGTCTCTGAAATGCTTTATTTCTTAAACTCTGATCTGAGCTGTACACTTTAGAGGTTTTAACCATGAATGAGTGGAAGAGAGCTTCATGGGCTGGGCACAGTGGCTCACACCTGTAATCCTGGCACTTTAGAGGCTGAGGCGGGACCATCACTTGAGCAGGCCAAGAAATCGAGACCAGCCTGGGCAGCATAGTGAGACCCCATCTCTACAAAAAAATTTAAAAATTAGCTTGGTATGGTACCCTGTGTCTATAGTCCCTAGTACTCAGAAGGCTGAGGCAGGAGGATCACTTGAGCCTAGGAGTTCGAGATTACAGTGAGCTATGACAGCAACACTGGGATCCAGGTGCCCAGAGAGATTTAACAGAGGCAGAGGCAAGATCTCAGGGAGCTGAGGTCCATGACACCAGTGGGTGGTGGCAGTCAAGGCTGTTGGGGTGTCCCGTTGGTGATCCGGTGAGCTTTGGACAGGAGGGTGTCCAGGCCACAAGGGGATCATAGGTGGGAACTGTGTGAGAGAGGGCCAGGCCCTCAGCACCCCACCGGAAGCACACAGAGAACGACACAGCAGAAGGGGGCACGGCAGGGCGGGCTTAGGGAGGACCAGGCCAGGGGGAGACACTCATGGACAACTGTCTCCTGGTTGGACTTGCCCATGGGGGAGGGTAGCGGTGACAGAACAGAATGTTTGATCAGTATTTGCTTTCAGTGGACCCAGAACTCATTGCCTTCACACCTGCCACAAATCCAGAAGGTTCCAAGTGGGAAAGTAAAGAAGGCCCTGGACCCCGTAAACAGCCTTGGCTCGCGCGCGCTCGAGAAAGGGAAGGGCCGTCAGGAGGCAGCTTCCAGGTTTTAAAAGCACAGTTGGGCCGGCTTGAAAGGAGCGGGGCCGCAGAGGGCGGGAGGCCGAGGCTCCACCCGTAGCTACAGGCAGAAGGGTCAGAGGAAAGGCCCCCGGCACCCTTGAAGTCTCCTGGCTCCTCAAAACCTGAGAACAAAAGCTGAGGCGAGGCCCAGTCGGAGGAGCCAGGCAGAGGGCACTCGGTCCTCCCTGCGCTCTGGGGCCTCGGGTTTCAGAAGCTTCCGCGTGGGAATCCGAGAATGGTTTTCTACTGAGACGGATGTGAGGGGACAGAGAATTCCTGGGTCTCTCCACTCAGAAGGCAGAGGAAACGTTCCGAAATGCAAAGTGGGTCATCGCATGCCCTGCTCTAACCCCTTCCCAGCTTCTTGCTACTCCCAGATTAAAATTAAACTTGGTCTTAGTCTGTTTTGTGTTGCTATAGCTGAATGCCATGGATGGGGTCATTTATAAAGAAAAGAAATTTATTCGTTACAGTGCTAGAGGCGGAGAAGTCCAAGGTCAGGGTGAGGGCTTTGGGCTGTGTGGTCCTGCCGTGGCCAAAGACAGAAGGGCAAGCGCGTGTCGGGGAGTGAGTGGACAAGAGAGGGCCAAACTGGCTTTTATGCCAACCCTCTTCTGCGACAACGACATCAACCCATTCACGGGGCCGGGCCCTCATGGCCTAATCACCTCTTAACAGCCCAGGTCACACTTCGTAATACCGTCCAATGTCAATTACATTTCAACATGGGTTTGGGAGGGGACATTCAAACCACAGCACGCTCTGACCCCAGCCTGGCAAGCACTGCGGGAAGGAGCCCTGTCCCCTTCCCGTCCTCCGCTGCCCACTGCCTTCCTGTTCCTCAGAGGCACCAACCCTTCCCTACCTCTGAGCCTTTGCACTCACTGTTCCCTCTGCCTGGAAGGCTCTTCCCACAGACTGTCACAAATGTCAGCCCGCTGGGGGCCATCTCTGACCTCCCCATTTCCTGAACTCCTCTAGGCACTGTCATCTGTCCCCCACCGTGGCACCCCCAGACTCGTCTTGCTGACGTGCTGCATTTCCGGTCCTGGCCACCCACCCTGCACTAGCCTGGGAGCCCACGGGGCAGGACTCCTGTCGTCCTCCTTCGCCGCTGCGGCGTTGGCGCCTCACCCACTGCCTGGCTGGGAAGAGATGGTAAATGGTGACTTGTTGAGTTACAAAGGCTGGAGGATTCCAGAACAGTGGCTGGGCAGCAGCAATGAGCCCATAGCACAAGCTCAAGAACTTGCTAAACAAAGAAATGCACAGAGAAGAGCAACAGACAGTCTAGTGAGTCACGGACTCGTTACACACAAGGGGTCCCCTGCTCATGGGTCAGAGGCTGGGACCCCAGACAGGGCCCACAGTCCAGGGCACCAGCGCCTGGGTGCAAAGAGGACCTAGATATTACAAACATGTAGACTTGGCACCTGGAGAAGGTGGCCCATGCAGGTCCTAAGACTGGGAAAAGCCACAGTTGGAATTGTGTAAATTGTGCAAGAGGACATGGAAGCATCCCTAAGGCCACTCTCTTGAGAAGCGGCCCCCTGGGACAGCTGAGGCCCGCATCTTCTCCTTTCTCCACCCGCTCACGCTCTGCCTCTGCTCTGGTCCCTGGCTGGCGAGGACATCATGGGTCTGGATTATACGGGTTCCGGGAGCACCGTTTTGCTGAGACAACTGCCGGAGGGAATGAGTCTGCTTGTAGTTTCTACCCTCAGGCTGGTGCGAGGATTCTTCGCATCCTATCCAGTGAGACTGTGGAAGAGCAGGGTGCTCTGGGGACGTGGGGTCGGGTTAATTCGCCAGGGGAGGAGGTGAAAGGGCCACACCGGTGACGCAGGAGATGGCCCAGGAGGCAGCTGCAGGAACGCCGGCATGCGAGGGGCTCTGTTACCCCAGGAGCCCCTGGTCAAGACTGAGCAGAATGAAAATGGAGGGAGGAAGGGTTTGGATGCCAGTTTCTTTGGATTTCAGCTTTCATTGTGAAGATTTAACTGTGTATTTAAAAAAATTTTTTTGAGTGGAGAGTGTTCCTATTGTTCAAAAGTGGGGCAGTTTTCCTTTCTTATCTGGTCCGTTGCAGAACACCTGGCGAGCCAGCCGAGGTGGCGGCTGGAGTCCCTGCGGTAGGCAGCAGGCCCGGGGAGTGGCCGCCGTGTGGGCTGGGTGGCTGGGGAGGTGGCGCAGGGCGTCAGTTACCGACTGCTGCATCAGAGTCACCTGTAGGGCTTGTCAAAGGCACAGACTGCAGGGCTGTCCCGGAGCTGCTGACGCAGCAGGTCTCCTGTGGGACCCGAGAATTTGCATTTCCAACAAGCGCCTGGGGGCTGCTGGGGCTGTGGGTTCCACACTCTGAGAACCGCTGGTGTCATGATTGCCCGGTTCTGAGTCATTCCGTGTGGGCCAGAGCACAGCTTCCCACCCCAGCTCTCAGGGCAACTCCCAAGGGATAGTGACTGGCTGGTGACAGGCCTCCTGAGAGTCAGGACAGGATGGTCTGGGCGTGTGGCTGGTCCCCGAGAGAGACAGCCACACCCCCAGGTGGATGCAGGGTTGGCCAAGAAATCTAGAGGCAGAGAGAGGAAAATTAAGGTGTGAGTGTGCAATCGTGGGTGTGTGTGAGTTTGCATGTGTGAGTGGGTGTGTGTGTGTGCATGAGTGTGTGACCCCTTTTCTTCTACACTGCATCCCAGCCCTTGGACTGGGGAGATGTCATTGCCCACTTGGAGAGCCACAAGTGGGTCTGGCCTGTCTTCCCGCTTTCTCCATGGGAAGGCGGGGACGCGTGATTGGTAAACTGGGCGAGTCCAGACAGTCCCATGGCATTAGCCAGGGGAAACGGAGTCACTGCTCCGAGAAAAGGGCCGCTTGACTACATGTACTGCATCTCTCTGGGACCTTCCTGTCTGTTAGTGGAAAGAACTCCCCTCCATACCCTCCCACACTTTCTGGAATCTTCAGTCAGCCCACAGACCAGACCAGGACAGCCCACAGAGAAGCTGCAATAAAACCAGTAATCACTTTGCCCGCCTGGTCCCTTGTGTCCACTCTCTACTGGCTGCAACTTGGAGGGGGGCTGCTGTGCGGTTAATCCCCAAGTCCTCAGCACAGATATTTATTTCTGTCTCTAACGTGTTGAGGACACAAAGGTGAGAAGACAAGGTTCCAACTGACCAAGAGCCTTCAGTCTGTGGAGGGGAGGCTCATGCAAACCTGGGTTGGCCCCAAGTCTGGTAGGAGCCCAGGTAAAAGGCATTTTCTGTTGTTGTTTGGAGACAAGGACTTGCTCTGTCGCCAAGGCTGGACTCAGCGGTATGATCATAGCTCACTGCAGCCTGGAATTCCTGAGCTCAAGCAATCTTCCTGCCTCAGCCTCCCGAGTAGCTGGGACTACAGGCACGGCATCATGCCTGGCTAATTTTTTTTTAGTTTTTGCAGACATAGGGGGTCTCATGATGTTGCCCAGGCTAGGTAAAAGGCATTTTTAAGCCTGTGTCAAGGGAGGGGCAGGAAGGAGTCAGGGAAGGCTTCCTGGAGGAGGTGACATTGAGGGCCAGCCTGCAGGAGTGAAGAGGACTTCGGTAAGCTTACCTGGGGGCAGAGTCTAGGCAGGAGGCACAGCACATGGAAAGGCATGGAGATGTGTGAGAACATGGGAGTTTCCAGCTTGGCTTCTAAAGGAAACAAATCTCTGAGATATTTGCATGTTTTTCCAGGTTGGGTTTTTCCATTCCCCAGAGCACTGAAGGCTTCTGGGAAAAACATCTCAGTTATCATTGTTTTTACTTAGACTGGGGGGTGGGGGTGGGCATATAATTTATTGTCCAAATGGGGCATTTTTCATTATTAAAAGGGGATACTATTAATTATTATGCTGGAACAACAGGTTAAAACTAAACTGTCATGAGCAAATGTCATGAGCAGATGGTCACCCTGGACTTTGGGTCAGCTACACGAGGGTAGGGGAGAAGGAGGGTATTAGGCATGGCAGGGAGTCCTGGGCAGGCCTCCATGGGGCTGTCCAGAAGTCAGGAACAGCTGTTTGACCTGAGCAAACTTCTTGAAGCCTTAGTTCCCTCCTCTGTAAATGGGGGCGCTATAATTTCCTGCCCTCGCTAAAGTTGTAGGATTTACCAGGGAATCCGTGAAGAGGAAAAACGAACTGGACCTCAACTATCCCCCAAAGTAGAGGTGCCTCTGCCAGATTCCTGGGCAGGCTCTCAGCGTCTCCCTTCAGCCCTTGGCCCTACCCAAGTGTCTCCCCCCCCAACAGGCTGGTCGCTGGAAGACCTCAGACAATCAACAAATCTTCATCCCAATTCCGTGGTTGCAGGGCTAACGGCAACATGCTCGCTCGATGGGAAAAGCAGAAAGCGTCCAGATTTATTGCTTGGAGAGTTTGGTTTGTCTCCTGGGCCTGGTTGATGCAGTTTCCTCCAAGTTTCAGAGCATTTTGTTTAAAAAGAAAAATTTTTGACAGCAGTATTTTGCCTCACATTTGTGCAAGGTTTTATAGTTTACAAAGAGGTTTACATAGGAACAATAACAATCATCGCTACTAGGTATTGAGTTCCTACATGGAGGGGTGCTCAACCCTTGAAACCACTCTCCCTTTCCAGGGATGGAGGAGCAGAGGCTCAGAGAGGTTAAGGGGCTTGCTCAAGGCCACACAGCCCAGGGAAAGGGCAGGACGGGTTCATCTGATTTCGGAGGCGCCACTCTGCCCCTCTGGCCTTCCACCTGACCTAATGCACACCTACCTGCTGATAAACAGTGAGAGAGAAAAAACAAAACAAAAACTTGAGGCTTGTGCTGAAAACAGAGGCTGGAATGAGTATAAAAATAACCAGGTATGTTCAAGGGAATCTTTGAGTCCCCAAACAATATGTTTTGTGCTAAGATTAGTTTTGTAATGATGCAGGTGGTGGAGGGTCTGGTGAGGTATGAGCAGGGTACTCATTCTCTAAGCTCTAATTCTGTGCTGTTCAAAACAGCAGCCAGGGCTGGGCACGGTGGCTCATGCCTGTAATCTCAACACTTGGGGAGGCCAAGCTAGGAAGATTGCTTGAGCCCAGGAGTTTGAGACCAACCTGGGCAACACAGTGAGACCCCATCTTTACAAAAAATTTAAAAAATTAGCTGGGTGTGGTGGCATGCCTGTGGTTCTAACCTCTCGGGAGGCTGAAGCAGGAGGATCTCTTGAGCCCAGGAGTCTGAGGTTATAGTGAGCTATGATCAGGGCCTCTGCACTTCAGCCTGGGTGAAAGAGTGAGACCCTGTCTCAAAAAACAAACAAACAAACAAATAAATAAACAAACAAAAAAACAACAAACAGAAAAATCCCAGCAGCCAGTAACCATATATGGCTATTTAAATTTAATTAAAATGAAATAAAATTTAAAATTCAGTTCCTCTGTTGCACTTGCCACACATTAAGTGCTCAAGAGCCACATGTGGCCGCCCTACTGGACAGCACTGTGCTAAGCCAGCAGCAGCCTGCTCCTGTCTTATCCTGACTGTCCTGGAGGAGGGGGACTGTCCCTGGAGGAGAGGGAGCCACTGACACAAGTGACAGACACACCTGTTTCAAGATAGGCCCTCTGCAGTCAAGGCACCCATAGATGCCATCCCGACACCTGTGACCCTCAATGTCACTCTGGAGCAGTTATAGCTCCAGGGATGCAAATAAAAGGGAGAAGCCAGAGGAGCGGCCACTAGCGGAGGCCTCCCTCTTCAGCATGTGGCCCAAGGACCGGCAGCATCAGCATCTCCTGGGAGCTTGTTAGAAAAGTGGAATCTCGGGCTCCATGCCAGATCCACTGAATACGAACCTGTATTTTAACAAGATCCCCAGGTGATTCCTGTGCACATTCAAGTTTGAGAAGCTCTGACTTAAGAGACAGGCTGAGCAAGAACAAAATACTGCTCCAAATATAGGAAACCAAACAGATATTTTCAGATCCAAAAAATAGCATCACCCCCCACCCCACACCCCCCAGTGCATGATGAAGCATTAGTCACAGAGAGCTGAGCGTCTCCGTGCCACGTGATCAATGACCATCCTTCCCAGGACAGACCCCCCCCCCCCGGGGAGGACCCGAGGAGGGGGTTGTGGGGGAGGAAACTGGCCCATCCTCCAGCTCCAGCACCTCCTCAAACCACAACGGGGTTACCCTCCCCAAAGCAAGGTGAACAGAACTGAGAATAACATCCTAGATCTCAGGGATGCCGCCCTTAAATCAGTTTCCACTTTTGCTTTCCTTCCCAGTGCCTTTGGCCGATCTGAACAAACACAATCATTTAAAGGGTGGCACCTCAGAAAGGACCTCGTCTGCCCCTTCTCTGGGGCGTGATGTTCCGCAGGTCTCCGTGCCTGGAGCCAGGTGTTGAGGAAGCTTTGTGGGAAGGAGCTGCATCGCGCCCATCTATGAAGGAAACAGGTGCAAAAGGTGGCTCCATCCTCAGCGAGGGGGAGGATGAGGCTTAAGAGGAGCCTGGCAGCTGCACTCCGACCCCCAGCTGGGGAAGGGGAGGCTGCTCTGGGGGGGAAGTTCGGGGTTCAGCTTCTGTGGCTTGCTGAACTCTCCTCCCTTCAGTGAGGATGACTCATCCGTTAATGCCTGTCTCCTCTCAGCCTACCTTGGGTCTTACTTATTTTTATCCCTGGAATGGAGTTAAGTTGCCAAAAGGATGATATTTTTCCACCTGCAAGGGCCCTCTTGGAGGATAAATTTTAAAATATTCATCTTTACAATTTCCTCCTAGCAATAAAGCAGAGGATGGGAATGCTGGGGAGCGGGAGGGGAGGGGGACAGAGACATGGGGACAGCGACATGGGCCCAGCGGGGTAGCCTGGGGCCACAGGGAACTGTAAAGTGGCTTTGAGACGGAGAGACATTCTAGGAGCTGATTCTAAGGAAATATTGAACAAGGGAGAAAGGAGGAATGGTTAAGTATGCTTTTTATAACTCTATAATACTGAAAAAAATCAAAGCTAACTGTAAACAGTCCTGCTGTTTTTGCCTATCCAGCCTGCAGGTCCCTTATTTTGGTAACAAACCTCATTTTTTCCTCCCTGGAGCAGCCGGTCGTCCCTTGCACGGGTCTTGGTGGGTCTGTCAGTCCAGATGCCCGGTCCTGCCCTCGGCTAAGGTGGGCACATGACCCAGGCTGGGCCAAATGGAAAGGAGACCCAGTAGGATCTGGAAACATCTGGATCCAGCCATCCTGACGGGGCTGCCTAGCGGGGCTGAGCCCCGGTTCTAGCAGCATGCCTGGCCGAGTCCTTTCTAGTCTTTCTCGAGGTCTGGCTGCTCACACAATAAATTCAATAAATTCTTTTTGTTGTGGTTGCTGCTGAAGTTGACAGAGTTGGTTTCTAGTATTTGTAATTAAGATCCCAAATGGACACAAGCCCCAAGTGCCCAGGCACGGCAGCTGAGATCAACAAAGCACACATGCAACATGGCCCAAGCAGGCACAGCGGTAAGAGTGTGTTTGTTGACACCGAAAGAGGTTCACAACATATAGTTAAGTGCAAAAGCCGATTATAAGAAAACAGTATATATGACATGATATTAATACTGTGTTTGCAAAATATATATACTCTATATATTCACAGAAAAAGGCCTGGAAGAAAATAGAACTACTCATTCTGGAGGGCAGGATGGCAAGTGATTTTTCTTTCTGCTTATCTTTACTTCCTGATCTTTCTATGATGCTTGTGTAGTGAGTTTTGCTGGTTTTATTTTTTTAAGTGAGTGCAGGTGGGTCGTGGGAACACACTTTCGTGCTGCCCATCAAGAGTGCGGTGACTTGTTTACTGAACACCACAGTTCCTGCCATGGGGCTGCTCGCCAACACCTCTGCTCAAGAACATTCTGGGGGTGTCTGAGTCTCCAGAACAAGGAGGACGCACTCCCTGCACCCAGGGCACCAGTAGCACCCACTTGTTCTCACAGCAACCTGTGAGGCCGAGGTTCTCCCTCTGCTGGTGGAAAAGAGCCCAGAGAGGTGAGGTGACCTGCTTGCATGCACACAGCAGGGATTCAAAGCTGGCTGCCTGGCCCAGAGTCTCAGGAGCTACTAAGGTTTAGGAACAGAGCCAAAACGCAGCAGCTGAGCACAGGGAAGGGCTTCAGCTGTGTGGACGAGCTGCAGACACACGGGGCTGAGGGGAGAAGCTCCTGCATCAGTGCTGGGGCCTGAACCCCTCGCTCCGCACACGGCCTCCGTGTCCTGGGGAAGCAGGCGGTGGGGCCTGCAGGGTGGGCAAGGGGGCCACATCGTGCAGGCGCGGCCTCCTGCTGGACACTCTTCCTGCTGCTACTTCTTACCTCCTAGGTCTTAGCTTGAAGGTCACCTTCCCAGACAGGCCCTCCCTGACCCCCTGAGGCGGGCCCTGGCCACTCCCTCCTCAGCCCCGTTTGTCTGTTTTATGGCATTTCCTACAACGTGCAGCCGCGGCACTTACCTGTCAGTTTACTTACGACCTGTCTCCCCCCACTGACTGCAGGCTCCTGCCTGTCCCACGCTCAGCTGTGGCCCTGCCTCCAGCCGGGGGTCTGGTCCGTTACAGGCACTTACCAAGAATCTGCTGACTGACCGAGCAGATGCGCACGCAGCCGGCGTGGCTGGGTGTACGACCTCAGGCAGTTGCTGCTCCAGGGCCTCTTCCAAACCTCAACCCAAGTCCACCTGAAGGACTGGCCTCGGGCTTCCTGAATAGGTTAGGACCAATTTAAGGGAAGGTAATAGAAGTTGAAATTGTTTACTAAATTATACCTTAACTCAACTGTGGGTTGATGATTCTTTCTGATGATAACATTGCAATGGTTTCCCCAGGAGTCATGGGTGTGCAATGAGCCCAATCATATTTCTTATTCAATAAACTCTTTTATTCTGGTTCACAGATTTCTCCATTACAATAATGAAAATAGCACTAGTGATTTGTAACACTTAGGCCCAAATCAAAGGGGAACCCCTCCTCAAATTATAAAGTAAATGACACATAGTTGGACATGGAGTAAATGTGGGGCAAAAGGCATTTAAAATATAGATAACGGGGTTAAGATTTTGTGTGTGTGTATCAGGGTGACACTGTTTTAGAAAGCACATGATTTTGAAAACTATAATTGTGATAAAACTCAACCGTAGAGAAAAGACAAAATCAAGCAAAAACAAAAACCCCAAAACTAAAAGGAAGCAAATCAGACATGTGGGTAGATATGCAAACCTCCGGTGCTTCGGCCCTGGAATGGCAAGTGAATGGGCTTCATAGAAATTCTCCACACAAGGGATGTCTGGGCCTGGTGTGGCCGTGGCCCTTGTCTGACGTCGCTGCGTCTCCAAGTCCTGACTCCTCACAGAGGAAAAGAAGTTGCTTGTCTGACACATCTGCTCGGGGGCTGCCCGAGATGGGGCCTGCGTTCCCAATCCCTTTGAGAACAGTCCCAAATCCCGAAAGGGCAAGGCATCCCTGTGGTGGCCCCGGGAGCGGGGGGAGACGGGGTCTGCCTGTCCTATGTCCTGCCGGAGCTGTCTGAGTGGTTCACCGGGAGCGGGTGGGCCTCGGTGTTGAACACCCAGTCTTCCAGGGAGAGCACGTCATCTTCAGAGAACAGAAGATAGAGATACCTGTGCCCCGGGCAGGGCAGGGAAGCAAGACACAGCCTGTCAGTGCCCTGGGGAAGAAGGGTGGACCACGGGGAACACTTCTCAGGGCCTCTGTGGTGGGCCTGCAGCTGAAGTTGGGGGCCTGAGACCCCAAGACTGCTCGGAGGGCTAGTCCTGGGGAAGGACGCTGTGGATGGCCTTGAGCTTTGGGGTCAGAGGGACCCAGTTTCACCTGGCTCTGCCCCAAGCGTCCGTCCTCTTACTGCTTCACCTGCCTGGCCCCATGTGAGAGCCCTGCCCGGGGCTACGTTCTCCCTCCCTGCAGAGCGGCCTGAGCACTGCACCTGCCGCGCTCCGCCCAGGAGACCCCCTGTGACGTGCGTGTTAGGGCGCTAACACGAACAGGGAGCTGCGACTCCAGCACACCAGTGTCCAGGCCATGGAGATTTTTTTTCAGTCCTGACCATTCCAACCCATCCTAAAGGGTTAAAGCACAAAGGGCTTGCTTGGGGGAACAGCAAGAAAGTGGGGTAGCCAACTCCCACCCCAAGAAAGCGAGGGAGGGATGCAGCAGCAACGCTGCCAAGGCCACAGGAGGGAAACCATCACAGTTACCACGGTTCCCATTTTACAGACGAGACACAGTTGCACAGAACTTAAGTAACCGGCACGCTCACACAGTTCACGCTCAAGGGGGCTGGATTCCAGCCCAGCCTCACTCCCTGAGTGGCGACACCGGCCGGCCCAAGGCTCAGCCCTGGGGTGTAGCCCTCTGGATCCCAAGCCCTCTGTCCCTCTTGGGCTCCTGTCCTGTGACCGCAGAACCTGGCTGTGGGGGAGGGGAGGGACCGCTGACCCGCACGCCCCCATCCCCCGCACCTAGGAAAAGCCCACATCGCCCTCTGGGAAGAACACTGACCAGGTGCCAACTCACTTTAGCGTCTCCGCTAGAAAGAAGCTCTGCTGCTTGTTGTCGTGGTTGGGGGTGCTGTTGTACACGTCTTGGATCCCGGAGAAACCCGCCTCTGTCCGACAGTGCTTCTCCAGGGCCTGAGGGAAAGGCAGGCCACCTTAGGGGGGGAGACGCCCCCAAGACTCGAGCCTGCCCAGAGGGCCAGAGCTCCAGAGCAGACAGTCCCCCTGACCCCGCGGCTGGGGACCCTGAGTTTGTGGGAGCAGAGGCCAACTGTTCCTTCCGGGCTCAGCCACCCCGTCCCTCCACCCAACTCCGAGAACTCAGTCCTGCTGGGCTGCCTTTGTGCTTTGCCTGGTTTGGACTTAGGAAGCCTCTAAGTGGGGGACCGAGGTCAGGGAAGGCCACAGGTGAGCCTCTCGGCCTGGGACTTGGGGAACGGCTCAGCACACCAAGGGATTCTCTAAGACTTGGATCCTGGGCCCAAGGCACGTGGGCCGCCAGCTGTCTGCCCTTTGTATGTAAATGCAATTTTTACCCACTGAAGGGTGTGTGGGCTCAGCACAGGGGTACGAAACACCTGGCCTTGGAAGGCTAAGAACCAGGGCCTCAGGGAAGCGGGCAGACTCTGGCCAACAGCCTCGCCAATGATCTGAGCGGCCCCGGGCCCTGCCGGGCGTGGTGCTCTGGGCGTGTGGCTCCCAGGACAGCCTGTGCTGCCCAGAGCAGGCGGCGCCTTGTCCGCCTCAGACTGCGCATGGGGCGCAGAGAAGGCTCAGCATCCATCAAGGAACCTTCTGGAATCCCCGCATCTGCCTTTGACATCTACCCCCAAAACGGCCATGAGATTTCCAGTGAGGTGTTGGCGGCTGAGGGGAGGGTGGGCGGTGAGGGCTAGTGGGGACCGTGCGGTGGGGGCACTGCTGCGAAGAAGTGGGAGGTGAGGGTGAGCTGCTGGCATTTGAGAGGAGAAATCCCAAGTGATTTATGAAGGCTCCAGGTCAGGAAAGCGGGGACAGTGGTGGCCACACGGTGCTCTAGGCAGCTGCCCAGCCTCTGACCCCCTCTGTTTGTTGAGTCTTGGGCGCTGGCCCCAAGGCCATGGCACTTAGAACCCAGCTGGAACCCTCGGCACCCTGAACCTTACCCGAGCGAGGGGGTTTGGGACCCTGTCTGTGCGTCCCCAGGGGAGCTGGGCCACCCGTGCTCTGGGCCACTCACCATCACCACTTCCCAGCCCCACTCCCTGTAGATGGGGTCGTGGGTCTGCCGCCACAGGTACATGTAGCTCTCCACCACCTCGGGCCGGAGGATGTAGTAGCTCTCACTCAGGTGGGTGGCCACTGCCTCTCTGCCGGAGTTGAACCAGAAGGCCTCGGGCCCGAGTTTGGTATCTGGGGGGACAGCCAACCAGAAGGCCCGGGTCAGACCTTCTGCCTCCTGCTGTAGGAAAGATTTCAGTTGCCTGGAACCCTCGGCCAGGGCGATGGTTAGTGATGTGTCAGGATGGGGCAGGCCCTGCTGGCACTGCCCCGTGAGGCTGTGCGGGCAGACGCACAGCTTCTTCTCTCTTGGCCTGGGCTGGCCAAAGCAAGACCCTTGAGGCCTTGAGAATTTTGCAGTTTTGGGCTCTGGGAATGCAAACGAGCTACTCATCAGTCTAGGAAGACAGAAGTTTGAGCAATGGTCCGCAATTGAATATTTTGAGACACTAGCTTTGCAAGAGGTTAGCCAGAACTCAGCCAAGGGTTTCGGGTTTAAATGTTTGGGGAACAGTGGGTTAAACAAAGTGATATGGTCTCATGTCTACAGGACTTATCAGATCCTTTACGCTAATGTGCAATGATGCTTCTCCACAGACCCCTTTTGTTAGAGAATTGCTTCTAACCTCCCAGACTCAGCCTTCCAGAGCTCACAGTCTGGGAACCTGCTGAGGAGGAGATGAAAGGAAGACTTGCCCAGGAAAGCACTGAATAAAGAAGGCCCGCCCTATGAGGTCTTGATTTTGTTGTTGTCATTGCTATATTGGTCTTTGGACAATTTGCTGCCGTTCTCGTTTTCTGCACGACCACGATTATAACCACCACTGCAGCCACTACTTATGATTTCAAGGGCTGTGCTGGGTGCTTCACATACATGATTTCAATAATGACAAAATGGTTTTGTGCTATGGTAGATGCTATTATCCCTCTCTCATGTATGTGGAAACTGAGGATCAGAGAGGCTAAGTAACTTGCTCAAGGTAACACAGTGAGTCATGGCTGAGCTGGGATGTGACTCTGGGTGCTTGGGCGCATGCGCTCTCTCTCTCTCTCTCTCTCTCTCTCCCTCTCCATCCCTCCCCAGGCTCTAACCCTCTGGGTTTAGCATGTAGGGTGTGGGGGCCAGATCTTCCTCCCTTTAATGCCTGCACATCCTGCCCAGATCACTTGAGTGCTGAACTCTGTCCCTAACGTGTGCCCTCCCTCCCACTAGAGTTCACAGCCCTGAGCGGCCCTGGGTTGCTTTTCCTCGTGCGACAGGGACTGGGACCTTGGAAGCCATCCCACTCTTCCATGGAGGGCTTCGTGGAAGAGGAATTAACTAGGCCCTGGCCCCTCCAATCTTTCCAAATGGTGCAGCGGCTCCTGGCCACCAGAAAACAGTCGTTTTGCCAAGCGGCTAATGGGGTGAGGGCAGGGGCGCCCGCCGCAGCCGTCCTCGGGATGAGCCAGGCTGGCAGCAACAATACGCTCTACTAAGTGGCTGTATTTTATGGCCTGGGCTGATTGTCCTAGACAAATAGCGAGCTTTTTATTATTCCTGAGATTTCTTATTTGTTTATGGTCCTGGCAGAGCGAGCTCTTTGAAGAGAATGGAAGACCAGTTTTAAAGACTCACTGCAATTCTCTGACTTCCTGGAAACAGCTCCAGGAGAACCAGCCTCCACTGGAGCGGGCACAGACACACGGCCCTGGCTGCCAAGGGACGCCTGCCGCGCTGCCGGCTGGAGGCGGCTGCCGGAGTGTTCTCATGGACCCTCGGCCCCACTCTGGGGCCCCTGCCTTGTCATTCCCGTGGAACAGAGAGGAAAAGAGGCCACCCAGCTGGTGGTGGCAGAGCGGCACTTGAGCCAGGGATGTTTACTGCAAACCTTGGGTCTTCTCCTCCAACCAAGGCTGGGGTTACAACCCAGAGCGGTGGGCATCTCGGGGGCCGCGGAGGGCGGGGTCTTCCTGGGGGCACTGCAGAGAGAGGCAGCATGTCGGGAGGAACTGGGCATCAAGGCCGGGCTCTAGCCCAGACTCAGCTACTCGTGCACAGCGTGACTTTGGCTATGTCACTTCCCCTCTCTGGGCTGCCTCAGTTTCTCTGTGTGTAAAATAAGAAGTTGGGCTCGTGTTCTCTAACGTGACCTCTGACTCTAGCATCTGACAGACAATTCTGTGGCTAGCCATGAGCGGGTTGGCCAAGAAGCTCCCAAGCTTCCCAGTGGTCTTGGGTCCAAGCAGGTGACTGAGCAGGTGTTTCCAGGAGGTGGGGAGACACCCTATGGGGTGGGGGGAACGTGCTATGCTCAGGAGGAAGCCGACATCTCTGCTCCGGGGGCTGGACGACCCTTTGCTCTGTGCCCTTGTCATGGGACCTGGGCTGAGTCATCTCTGAGCCTCAGTTTCCTCATCTGTGCTGTGCGGTTCAGTGATGATGTGAGCCAAGGGATAGCACCTGGCACACACAAGATGCTTAATGTGCCTTACTATCTCCCCTTCAATGTAGGGCACAATCTCAGGGCCTGGACAGCACTTCCCTCATTCAGAGCCTACATGACTCCCAAGGGGAGATTTCCCTAAGACTATGTGCTCCCTTCACTCACTGCCACTCTGTTGATCTTTCCAGTTCTTCCTGGTGTCTAGCCTCAGTCTCTCCTGTTGCCCCTTCCCCTCACAGGGTTACCTGAGCGGGCGTATGACTCGTGGCACGTCTTGGTGATCTGGGCTGCGAGCTCGCGGTAGTGGGCCCTCTTTTCTTCCTTGGCATCCTCAGCGCCGAGGGCGATCATGCCCCCGGAGAAACAGGCCAGGTGCCCCATCTTGTGGTCCAGAATCCCCCCTCGCCACTCAGCAATGTAGGTCAGCCCCCCGGGAGAGACATTCAGCAAGTAGGTCTCTATTGCCTGGGAGCAGGGTGGGAATTGGGCAGGGAGGGGGGCGCGGGAGGGCACAGAGAAGGGAGGGGAGAGGATGGAAAATGAACATTTTGGAGACAGCAGCAAGCGCAGCTCTGCTGAGCCCTCCATCCCAGGCAGAGGAGGCCCGTTGCTCTCTGTTGGCGCAGGTGCCCGACGGGCCACGGGAGGCCCTGCCACTTGCTGAGCCGCGTCTGCTGCCTGCTGGGAGGCTTGGACGCAGGGCAGCTCCCCAGGGCAAGGCTCTCACGTGGGCTTTAAAATCTTCTACGTTTTAAAAAACATTAAAATAAATTTTAAGATGATTATCATCCACTGTTAGATCCTCTGTTAGGAGGTCTTAATCTGAAGTCCAGTTGGCCTGTGGATGGGTTTCGGGGGTTCAGAACACCCTTAGAGTTGTACCCAACACTTTGTGAACGTGCATCTTTCCGGGAAGAGGGTCCGTCTATCGTTACCAGATTCCCAAAAAGGACCTGCAGAAAAGTAAGAGCTGCTCCTCACAGGTACTGCATCGTACGTTTGCTCATTTACTGTCCACAGCAAGCCACGCACCTGGGCCGGGGTACCCTACCCGACGCAGACCCCCAGCCACACCAACCAGGACCTCCACTACCCGATGGCTGCCCCTTTTAGCGGGAAGGGTGATACTGTTGGTAAAGACTGGGATGTCAGCGTGTGCATGTGTCAGGCCATCATGGCCCCAGGAGCCCTGGAGACCAAGCGGATGGAGGAAGCTATTCACACAGCTTAAGGCCAGCCTCGATGGGCCAGGGGTTCCTGGACTATGGCTGGCAGCCTCTGGGGCCCTTGCCAGGCCTCTGCCTCCACCCTCACCCCTCCAATCTATTCTCCAGGGGCCTCTGCACTCGGTAAATAACAAATTGGATTGTATGACCTGCCTGCTTAGAACCTTCAGTGGTTTCCAAGTGCCCTTAGGTGACAGTCCAGCAAGACCGGCAAGACTCCATGATCTGGACCCTGAGGTCTGACCTGATGCTACGGACATGGCCCCTGGGCGCAGACTCCTTGAGTTCAAATCCCATCTCCACCAATTCTAAGCTGTGTGACATTGGGCAGGTTACATGTCCTCTCTGTGCCTCAGTTTCCTCGTGTATAAAGTGGGGATAAGAGCATTAACTACTTCATAGGGTTGTGAGAATTAAATGAGGTATGTCTGCAGAGCTTGTCATATTTCCCAACCCTAAGAGAGTCCCCAGTATATGCTAGCTCCTCTAATTCCTCTCTGGTCTGTCCCCTGCCCCTCCCTGCTCCCTCCAACCCCGAGAATGTTCCCTTGATGCCAGCTTTGTGCTGGGCACTGGGGACACAGCTGTTCTGTAGGGGGGACATGGCCCTGCCTCAGGGACCTCACCCAAAAGTGCAGAGACTTCCCAGCAAAACCACACACATGAGGTGCAGTTTGTGATCAGCATTTTGAATGAACAAATCGAGGGGGTGAGATAAAAAAACTGGAGGGTGCCCACTTTGCAGAGCGAGGTCAGAGGAAGTCTCCCTGTGAAGGTGACATTCGTGAGGGCTGCATTTTCTTCCGGCCCGGGGGCTTTGCCAGTTCTGTCCCTCCTTCCTGAAGGAGCTGTACCCTGCATGTTCCAGCTCGACTTCACTAACTGCAGCTCGGCCCTTAGGCCTCCTCCAGAACGCCACAACTTAAACCAGCACCGCGGCCCTGTCACTCTGTTGACCCCTCACCTCTCTACAGAGTGACATGTGCACTTGGCATATGTTTCTGTTGAATGTCTGTGGACTCTGTGTGCCGTGACGGCAGGAGCCACCAGCAGCAGCCTCCATCGAGTGCCTGGCACGTGGAGGACGCTCAGACAACATTCACTCCTTGGTCTGTGTCTTCCTATTCCCTCCCGTCAGGGCCCAGGGCTGGTGGGCTGGCTGCGGGACCCTCACTGAGTGGCAGATGGGGAGGCACTGACAACGGGCCGTGCCAGGGCACCTGTGCCAAGATGGGGGGGGGTGCTGAGGCCTGCAGGGCTGCCTGGCTGCCAGGCCGCAGTCTGCTCTGGGCCTGGCCTGGCTCCTGGGCAGAGCTAGGTCCCCGGCAGCTGCTTGTATCCCAAGCATGTGGCACAGGGTAGCAGTGTCAGGGTCTAGAAGCCTGGTTCACGTTACCAGTTGTCAACATTTGGGAGAGAACACAGACACCAGAGGGAGATCCCAGGACGCCTCGCTCTGGCGCTGGAACCCTGCACCTTCCAGACGGCCTTGGCCTCCCGTAGGTCATTTCCATCTGGGACTGGCCTCAAGCTAAGCAACTGTAGCAGAGAGGAAATTATAAACCAGTGCCTCTGTGGGGGTACAACCGAGACAAGCAGATGCAAGGATAAAAAACAAGGCTTTCTAACACTCTGAGCAAAACACAGGACAGCACAGCCTGGGGACCAACTGGGAAAAGGTTTCAGGGTGGGGAACCTGCGGCCTTCGGGCCATCTGTGGCCTTTTAGGTCTTTAAGTGTGGCCTTTTGACTGAATCCAAGTTTTATAGAATAAATCCTTTTAATAAAAGAGCAGTGCAAAGAGCTGAGTGGGGAGTCACGAGAGCTGGTTCAAATCTCAGCTCTGCAGTTTAAGAGTTGGGTGACTTTGGGCAAGTTACTTCGCTTTTCTGAGGATTCACTTTGCATATCTATAAAATGGGAGGAATAATTTCTGGAATGGCTATGAGGATTAAAGAAGAAAGTATTCAAAGACCCTGGCTCCATGCCTCCTGCGGAAACCCCATCCAGGGAGGGATTTCGGGCCGGCCGGGCTCTCCTGTGATCTGGCCGCTGCTAGGTGGAGGCAGGTGCACTGGATTTGCAGTCAGTCAGACCCGAGTTTGTGTCCTGGCTCTGACACTTGTTGCTGTGTGACCTTGGGCCTTTCTGGGCCTCAGTTTCATCATCTGTAAAATGGGTGCTAAGTAAGACAAGGCACTTAGGGTGTGTGCCTGGAGGAGCCAAAGTGACCAAAGTGCTCCTGTTCTTCATCTTGTTGTCCCTCCTCCTGTGGCACTCAGGACGATGTGGACCTCCCACGCCCACCCCAGCTGGACATTGGTCTAACCGGGTGGTTTCCAGTCCCAGCTGCCCATCACGATCGCCGTGGGAGCTGGGGCAGGGGTGGGATGGTGGGGTGGCTCCAGCACGGGATTTCTAAGGCTCCTAGGTGACCCTAAGGTGCAGGCAGAGTGAGAATCTTTAAGATGCTGTCACCTGGGCATGGGGCCCTGAGGCTCTGATATAATTAGTCAGGGGTACAGCCTGGACATCAGGATTTTATAATTCCCTAGGTGATTTTAACAAGCCAACAAGGTTGAGAACCATCAGAACATTCTTCAAAGCCCCAAACTTGCCAGAGGCCCAGCCTTTACCCAGGGTCAGAACTGCTCTAGGCTCTTTGCTGGGGAGATCAAATGTGGGGAGCAAAGCCTCTCCCATTCAATCAAGTGTTCCCAGTTTCCTTAAATAATTCATGGCCATTTCTTCCCTTGAAGCCTCAACTACAGTGTGCCCTGAGGGCAGGGAACCAGGCCGCTCATTAACTTAATGTTTACTCTGCAAGGAAAGGCATAAAGGGCCTCTCTCACTGCGCACCCTGGCCGCCAGTGGAACGCTAATCCTCAGTGGCTCTGGTCGGAGCTCCGCTGAAGCTGACGGCCCGGCGGCCGGGGACAGGGCTGAGACTCAGACTGAGCCGGGACTGGAGTCCCAGAAGCTGCCCCATGACTGAGGTCTTGTCCTGGGGAGCTGGGCAGGGAAAAATCATCACTGAGCCCACAGTGTAAAGGGTCCGTGGCTCTAGAGGCCCACTTCAATGTGTGTCTTTCAGGCACTACCAATCCTGGCCAGATTCGTGTGATCAGAGAGGAGAGATCATCTACCCATCCATTCAACTGCTCACATCCATTCCCCATCCCCCCGCCCACCTAGCAACCCATCCGTCCTTCCCTCCATCCGTCCTTCCCTCCGTCCAGGCATTCATTCATTTGTTTACAAAATAGTTACTGTAGCCTATTATGTGACAGGCACTGTTTTAGGAGTGGGCACACAAGGTGAACAAATAGACAAGACCCCTGATCCTGGATTACTCACATTCTATTTGGGGGAAACAGATAATGAACAAGTAAACAAATCTGTACATATGACAATTTCGGATGCTGATAAAGGTGTGGAGAATGCACCTGGGGGTGTGACATACAGGCTGGGCATTTTAGCTGAGCGCTGACCAGTACGTGGGCCCAGCACATGAAGGTAGAGGGGACATCCAGTGCAAAGGCCCTGGTGGGAATAGGCTTGGTGTGTCTGAGGAAGGGCAGAAGGCAGCTGCTCAGAGCCAAGAGCACAGAGGGAGAGGGCTGGGGACGAAGTCGGGGTGCTCACAGGGCCCAGATCAGGAGGGACCCTGTGGGTAAAGGAGGAGTCGGGTCTTTTCTAGGTGCTGAGGGAAGCCAGGAAGGAGAAGGACAAGTGTTCCCAGTTCTTCTGGCTGCCTCATGGAGAACTGACTTACAGGGCAGGGCAGAGGGGAAGCCAGGTTAGAGGAAATAAGGAGGTAGTTTAGACCAAGGTGGTGGCAGAATAGATCCAACTTGCTCAACTTTCTTTATGGGGAAACTGAGGCCCACAGCCTGCCCAGTGCCTTTTCAATAGTTGGGCTCAGAGGTATCTGTTGATGGGCTGTGGGATTTCCTACCCCCTTCCCAAAAGCTTGGGCTGACTCTCCTGCTATCTATCCTAGTTTCCCCCTGTTCAGAGGGACTCTCAGTCTGCTGTCCCTTGTTCATTCCATACCCCAGGGACAGAGCAGCAGTGGTGCCAGCTTTGCCAGTTCTGTGCTGTGTGGCCTTGGGCCTTGGTTTCCTGCCACATAAAGAGAAGGAGCAGAATTGGATGCCCCACTGAAGGTGGCCTCTCCCAGCATGGACATGCTCATTAGGTCATCATCTCTGGCTTGGCAGGAAGACAGCCGAGGGTCTCACTTTGGCAGCCTCCCCTGGGGGGCCCAGCCCACAATCTGGCTACCTTCTGGGCTCTGATATATTAACTGAGACACAGACACCATGGGGGTGGTGGATTTTGAGCCATGGTTTCTGAATTGACTGTCACTTCCTATGAGACCTTGAACAAATGACTTAACCTCCCTGAGCTTGGGCTTCCAATCTGTAAAACGCGGGCACTGACACCGTCCCAACTTCAGAGCATTCAGAAGTCATGAGATGGGGTGTGAATCATCCGGCTGGGAGGGGACTGTCTTGTCACTCTTCTCACTGGCTCACCAGGGGGAGGCATGAGCCAGCCTCTGCCCATCTGGGCCCTGCTGCCCCCAGCACTTAGGGCCTGCGAGAGAGCCGGTGGCTAATGGCCAATGGCCCATGAAGAATCAAGTGCTCATCTTACCTCCAAGGCTTCGTAGTACATATTTTTAGCCTCCATATCTGTCTTGGCCGACATCAACCAGGATTTGATCAAATATTCATAAAAACTGTCCCCGAGTCCTCCAACCGAGACGTGGTCTGTGAGGGAAAGAGGAAAGAATGTGATCTCCATCTGCCGCCGGCGGGGCGGATGGCGTGGGGTGGCTGGCACAGTGGCCTGGGTGGCCACGGAGCTGTGCGTGGGCATCTGACCAGCAGCCACCAAGCCCCGATGGGGGCCGAGAGGAAGACTCTGCCTGCACCTGGGAGAGACCAGGGCCGCCTGGAGAGTGGCTGTCCTGTGCAAAAGTGTGCGGGCCCACCCAGTGGGTGCCGTAAATCATCACGCTTTAGCAGCCTGGGGATGCCAGGGCCTCTGGTTATTAACTGCAAATGAGTTGCGTTTCCTTCAAAAGATAATCTGGTGGCAGGGAGTTCAGAGATTTTTATTACCCACTCACAAACATGGTAATTAATGCTGGGCAGCTTCATAAAAGGCCACGGACAGAAGGAACAAGAGCCTTAATTTAGTCAGCCAGATCCTCAAGTAAAGAGCCACTCCGGAAGAACTCAGTTTAAATTTAGCAAATTGGGATAAATGGAGTTCAAAGGAGTGGGGCAGGGAGGAATTGAGTTTGAAGACCTCTCTCTGCCCTCGTGGCATCTGCTTGGGGACGGTAGTCCAGCCATGCTGCCCAGAGTCACCCAAGGAGCAGAGCCTTTCAGGCAGTGGCTGGACGAGGAGGTCTCTCCACCCAGGGTTGTCCTGGGAGAAAGACAGGTTGCCCGAGGAACACTTAACCGCAGAACCAAACACTTCACTCACATACTTTGAAAATTAACAACAGGGAAACATAAAGCCATTTGATAGATTTAACAAAGAACAAACCACCTGTGTTCTGATTCACTTAAGCAGAGAGACGGGGAGGGAAGTGGGGTGAACTGCAGGTGTGGTGGGGGATGGGCAGTATGTTGTCACCTCCTCTGGGGAAGGAGGGGGTAGAGAGCACGTGGGCAGGGGAGGGAGAGAGACAGACGATACATCAGCAGTTGCCACGTACTGAGTGTCCCTTGTGGGCTAGGGGCTTTGCCATATTACTTAAAACTTATCTTCCCAAGCACTGTGTAAGGTAAGCACTTAATTGACCCCATTTCCCAGATGGAAAAACTGAGAGTGAGCCTTAACAGCTTGCCCAAGCTCACCAAGCGGGTGAATGGTCAAGCCCCAGCTTCCTGCAGTGTTCACAGCCAACCAGAGAGTGCAAACAAGGAGGCACAGGAAAAGACAAAAGAGTGTGCGGGATCAGGGATCAAAAGATAGGACAAAGACAGACATGGAAGCCAGGAAAGGGGGCTGAGAGGAGGCCAGTCACACAGTGAGCCAGCCCTCTGGCCTCCTCCAGCCCTGATCCACAAATAAGTCCTGGCCCAGCAAGGGTTCCAGTATGGAACACACACCTGCAAAAACTGGAACAGACAAAATAAAGCACGAGCTTTGGGAGCCCTTGGAAGGGGCCATGCGGGCTGGACTCTGCTCTGGTGAGGAGGGAAGAGAGAACCAGCACCGTGGCGGTGCTTTCCATCATTCCTAGCTGCCAGCACCCAGGGCCCGGGCCAGGCCTGGCATGTGGATGGCGGGTCCCTGGCTGCAGCAGGTCTGTGCAAGCAGTTGGGGGAGGCTGGAAGTCAATCTGGGTTGGGCTCTGCTGCCCATAGAAGGGGGCCCTGTCACAGGCAAGCCACTGTCATATCCAGACTCATCTCCTGCCCTGTCCTTCTCACCTTTGTCCCTGCCACCCAAATATCCCCAGCTGCCAGCCTTCCCTGCCTGACCTCTCACCTCTGTGCCTTGGCTTGCGCCAACCTGGGCCTGACGTGCCCTTCCATCATGAGCAGCCAGGCTAGGCGCCAGGCTGGAGCTCACCCCTACATCCACTATCGAGGTCTGAACTTGCAACCTCCCTCCCACTGAAGAAAGCTTGGGATTCGGGCAGTGGCCAAGGAGCACACGTTACTCAGGGGCAGGCAGAGGGCTGGTGAGCCCTCCTTGGCAGCTCTCTGAGCTCTACACGGGTCGTTCTTAGGATTGTCTCTATCTGTGTTTGGTGCCACCTGGAGCCAGTGGATTTTTTCCTGGGTGTGAAGTCTTAGTGGCAGGAGGGTCTCAGGTCTCTGTTACCTGGAAGCTCCGTTTCAAGGAGGAATGGGAGGCGGGCAGAGCAGAGGCCTGGATAACTGGGCTGCAGCCCTAATTCCTCCTGTGCTCTCTAAGCTGCAATTTCTGCCGTTGCAAATGGGCCTAACAGTCCTTGCCTACGGGCTTGTTCTGAGGATTCAAGGAGAGAAAATAACATGAATGCGCTTGAACTTATGCGAGGTGGTCTGTTAAAAAAATACACACGCACCCCAAAACCCAACAAAAACCACAGGAAACCTGAGATGACCCCGGGCGCCAAAGCCAGGGGCGGAGGAAGGCAGGCGTCCAGATGAGCAGGGCGTTGTGACCTCCCCTCTGCTCTTTGGCAGGCTGCGGACTCATATTTTATTAATATGAAACAATTTCCCATATGTGGCCGACTCTGCCCAGACCTGCAGCCCCTGGCAAAGCCTGAGAAGAAAACCACGCTTCCCAGCGGGGCGCCCCTGTCATTTGCCAACCTAACTATTTAGCTGGGAAGCCAACACCCTTTTCGCCTCTTTTTACGGGTTTTGCTGCATTGTCCTGGAGCAGCTCAGGCCAGCAGAGTAGTTTATCTCCTTGCCCAGCCAGGCCTTGCCATTAAAAGCAGTAACAGTTATCGAACTGTCTCTTCCCGTGGCCATAATCTGTAATTTGAGCCTTCATTCTCACCCTACACTTTTGGATTTGGCAGTGTGTTTTGGTTAAAAATATTTTGCATTTCTGTAAGTGGTTTTTGCAGGAGGCCACGTGGGGCCATCCCTGGAGAAAATTCCTGGGTGGGATTTTCTGGGCCTCCTGGATTTTGCAGATGGCAGGGGCTTGGGTTGGAAGGAAGGGCCTGGCAGCTTCGCCACAGGACCCCTGCTGCTGGCCGGCCCTCCAGGCTTTGCTGGCATCGTTCCCCTTTGGGACAGCCCAGATAATTTTTGGAAGATGAAATCTGTTTCCTGCAGCCTTTGACCATTGTTCCTATACCCTTCTGTGGCACACAAAGAACATATCTCACTCTCTTCTCCTGTAGTGCAGGACAGGAAACCAGGAGGGCTCAAAGAGATAAAATGAATTCCTCTAAGCCAAGCCAGAATCAGACTCCCATCTGCTGTACCCCTGAGCCCTTACTGGGGTTGGAGGCCAGGGAACAGGTGGGGAGGGGGTCCTTGTGTGGGCAGAGGCCATGGAAGTGGGCTCCAGGCAAGTCTTGGGAAGGCCCTAGAGGCAGAGCCAGGGAACCTGCCACCACCAATTCCTGCTGTCTGTGACCACAAGACAAGGACCTCAGTCGGGAGGGCAAAGCTGGAGCCTCAGCCTGCCTCTGCTTCCCAGAACTGGGCTTCTCAGCAGGGGCCACCTCCCAGAGGCCTGGGGGACCTGGCAGCACCCTCACACCTGTGTGTCCCCCAAGGTCCCCCCTTTTCAGTGGGTGAGGCTGGGGGCTGTGAATACTGTCCCACGGTGACCGACAACTACCTGGTTGAGAATCAAGTCTCTGAACAGAACAACTGAAAATCCTGGGACTGATTCTTGTAGGTTTAAGATACAAGGTGAATTTCTATACTGCTCTAGAATTTCTATATTGCTGTATAGTTAGGCCTTGCTTTAAAAGTTTTGTTTTCTTTTTTCTTTTTCCTTTTTACAAAAAAATTTTTATTTTCTCTTTCTTTTATATTCTTCAAACAAAAATCTAAAGGTATAAAAAATTTTAAAATTAAAGTTAGATGTGGGAAGCCCGGTCAAAGGGGCTGGGAAAGGATGTGTGGCCTCTCTTGGAGCCACTCCCAGAGTGGATGACTCTACCAGGGACACTCCTGCAAGTCTGGAGGATAATGAAGGAGGCTCCTGTGGCCCCATAAGAGAGGAAAGGCTGTGGCACTGAGAGGAGCCGGAGAAGTCAGGCTGGGCGGTGAACAGGGCAGGGCCTCGATGAACCGCAGCCGTGGCAGATCACAGCAGTGGGCAAATCCCCGGGGGGCCTGGGGAGGTGGGTGGTTGCTGGCTATGTGGCTCTGAGAAACGCATCGCCCCTCACTCGTCCCAAGAGCTTAGCACGGGCTGGGAAGCCTGGACAGGAACCAGCTGAGCGAGGGGCAGCGGTGCTCTATACTCACGTTGCACCCAGTTCCCGCTCACTGGGCTGAGGAAGTTGGGGTAGAGGCCGAAGGGCTTATCGATCTTCCTGAGGACCTTGCGGATGTTCCTGACCTGCCAAGAGACGGACAACAGATGCGCCTTCACTTTCCCGAAGAAGCTGACTGACTCCCAGCCCAGTGAGGACAGGAGGCGGCTGGTTCAGATGCACAGAGGAAACCTTACCACGAGGCAGGGAGCTGGAGCTGCAGGGAACAGCAGGCTCCAAGGGAGGTGGTGAGACGGCCTTGCCCTTGTGCCACGTGGAGGGCGTGGCCAGGCGTGGCCGCAGTGGGGCCCGACTCCCCGACTCCCTATCTCCACGGTCCCGCTCTGCCTGCTGCCAGGCCAGTCTTGCCCCAGGCCCACTGCCTGCCTGACCTCCCGACCCCAGCCTCGATGCTTCCTCACTACATGCTGCTTTGGGGGATCCTTTTTGAGGCAGTCCTTTTTTAGGGGGTTCATATAACTGAGAGTAGCTCGTTTGTAAATGTTAGGTAAAACTGCCTTTTTAATAGGTCGAAAATGGTCAAATCCAGCAATCCCACTACTGGGTAAATATCCAAAGGAAAGGAAAACAGTATGTCAAAGAGACACAGCTGCACCCCACATCCACTGCAGCTTTATTCAAATAGCCAAGATATGAAATTAACCTAAGCGTCCATCAAAGGATGAATGAAGAAAATGTGGTATATATACACAATAGAATACAATTCAACCTTAAAAAGGAAGGAAATCCTGCCATTTGCAACAGCATGTATTACCCTGGAGGACAGTACGTTAAGAGAGACAGGCCAGGCCGCCCGGACAGACAAGCACTGCGAGATCTCCCTTATGTTCCACACTCTACTTCTCCGTGCAATGCAACAAAGTCGCACTCAGGGAGTAGAGAGCAGAATGGCGACTGCCAGTGCTGGCGGGGAGTCGGGGAGATGTTGATCCACAGACACAAAATTTCAGTTACACAGGAGGAATAAGTTCAAGAGATTTATGGGCACAACATGCTCACTATAGTTAATAACAATGTGCTGTATTCTTGAAAATTGCTCAGCGCTAAGTGTTGCTAACTTTAAGTGCTCTCACCACACCAAAAAATGATAAATATGTAAGGTAATTAAAGAGAAAAGGTCAAATATTGGCTATTTCAAATGGCTCAAGTTAATAATGTGTTATTTTATCTGACCCCTTGGAATCATTTCAGAGGAGAGGCCCAGGCTCCTGAATACCCACCAAGCCCTAATAGGCATCTCAGGGTTTTAATAATAATCCTAATAGCAACAACAACAGCTGTTAACATTTCTCAGTTCCTTTGAGCCAGACCTGTTATATACACTATCTCCGACCCTCATAACAACCTATAAGGTATTATTATCTCAGTTTGACGAGAAACCTGAATCTCAGAGAGTTCTGGTGACTTGCCAATGGCCACCTGGTTCTTTCGTGGCAGAGCTAGGTCTATCTGACCACACATACTTCCTGCCATGCACAGAATAGGCCCCGGGTCCAGCGTGGATCAGGACAGTGACCACATGGCAGAGGCTGTCCCCACTGGAGCAACCCAAGGCCGGATTTGCAACCTTTGGAGTTATGAAGGGTGAGAAATGGAACTCAGGGGGGCTTTATCCATAGGCGTCTACTCTCCAGCCCTATCCCCCTGAGAGAAATCTCCTTGGGGACCACACTATAGCATGATAATAGATTTATCTGTCTACAAGGCCAGGAGCTGCGAGAGCAGCCTGTCAGCTGTCAGACCTTTCTTTCCGGGGGACAGCACTTGGCTTTGCCACATAAGGTTTCATATTCATTTATGTTAACAGAGTCCATAATGGGGGACAGGAACATGCTTGTACCTGAGTTATTCTCAACTGTCCTGGTGGTGAGCAGTAAAGCAGGCTAAATTAGCTCCCCCAGAGCGTGCAGGCGCTTCTAGAATTTGGGCCAATTTGTTGACTGCCAATAATTGCCTCTGCGGGAGGCATGATTGGGGGATGAAAATAACCAGAGTATGTAAATGTAGAGAGAGACGGAGACAGACGGGTAGACTCTGGAGCAAAAGCCTGCAGCGTGGTGTAATAATCTGGTCTGATTATTCTGGTGCTGGAAAGTCCTGGGCTTGAATCCCGGCTCTAACACTGACCAGCTAGATGACCCAGAGCGAGTTATTCCACCTCTCTGAGTCTTAGTTTCCACCTCTGTAAAATGGGAACACCAGGAAGACCCACCTCATGGAGCTACTCTAATGTGCTCAGCACACAGCAGGTGCTCTGGCAGTGGCATCTATTATTCCAGATTAACCAGGGACCAGGGTGAGCTCCTTGTCCCACTCCATTCTGGGATGCTCAGAACCTTCCTAGAGGAGTTTGGCTCAAGAGCAATGGAAGGAAGCAGGGAGGCCGGGGGAGGGGCGTGGAGGTGGGAGAAGGATCAGCACAGGAGAGCTACTGGGAGTGGGATTAAACTCATGCCAAGAGCTGTCAAGGTGGGGCAGTTCCAGAGAGGCAGAGTCCCTCTCAATGTAAGGAAAATGTTTTTGCAGGAAGGGCCGTCAGTGGGATGGGCTGTTTAAGTGAGCTCCGTGGCAGAGGGAGCGACCAAGACTCTGAGAAACTCTTCTTGAGCTTCTAGAGGACACGCGGGTAGATTCCTACACCGAGGAGTAAGCAGAGGTTCCCAAACCTGGAGTCAAAAAGCATAAGTTTACATTAAAAATGCACATGCCAGGGCCTGGGCTGAAGCCCAGAAATCTCTCCTTGCAGCTGTTCCAGGGGATGCTTTGCGGCTGGCTGCAACACGAGACTGGGAACCGCGGGGCAGAGGTGTGAGTCTGTCATCTCTCGGCTGCCCTGCTGGCCTAACAGGCTGGCATTCCCGGGGGAAGACAAGGCTTTGGGGGTGGGAGTTCTCCAAAAGGTTCTCCTTGGAGGGCTCTGGAGGGCAGGGCATCTGTCTCCCCAGGTAGTCCTCAGGGAGGGACCACGGCTGCCACAACCTAGTGTTACCTGAGGGCAGTGTGTGTGTACTTTTCTTCTTTGGGTTTAGGGTCAGAACCTACATAGACACTTCCAGACAGTGGGGACTGCCCAGGGATTTGGCACTGAGGAACGGCCCCTCCTGGGGGGCTTCCCAGCAGGGACAGGTACTGACAGCTGGACAAGACTGGACAGGGTCTCTCAGCACCCTGGTGGCCTTGGACAGCCTGGGAACAACGGGAAGGAACAGCTACAGGCACCTGCTGTGGAGTGGCATTGCTTTGCCAGCCTGCTGACAGCATGAGCGAGACAGGCACGTGGAAGGAGAGGCAGGCAGATCGTACATGGAAAAGTTAAATGTCCCTGGAAAGGGGACTTTTGCACCGGGTGGCCAATTCCTGCCAAGGCAAGGTGGTGCCTAGATTTCAGCTGCACTTTCTCCAGATTTCACACGTGGGTAGCTGCCACTGAGCTGACGTGTAGCAGCAAGAACCTTCTCCCTGGCAGACTTTTATCTCTTCCCTGCCCTCTGTAGAGTCCTAATGATTCCTCGCACTTACCTTCCCTGTCACCTGTTGTTGGGGCCCAGTTAGGTCTTCCGCAAATTGCTATTTGCTATGTTAGCCGTGGCTTGGGGGCTCCTGGGCCCCCCACTCGCTCTCTTACTGGTCTGAGGGAGGACCCACTTACCTCTGGAAACACCCAGAAGCTCATCCCTCGCTCTCTGTGGGGAGAAGAGCAGGGAGCTGTTTTGGGAGGGAGTGGGAGCCGAGGGAGACTTGCCTTTTCAGCAAAGACCTGGTTGCCAGAGAGCTCGGTGAGGTGTAAGAATTCCAAGTGCAGGGATCCAAACTCTGCCAGGATACTGCTGCTGCCTGCTGTGGCCCAGCCCCAGCTCCCGCTGAAAAGACAGAAACAGCACAGGTGGCCGTCAGCTGACAGTAACAGTGGCTGCTCAGCGGAGGGGGTACCTGCTGTGTGCCAGGCACCGTACTTGGAGCCGTTGCCGCACAACCTCCGTCAAGCCTCCCTGGCCGCATTTCCTGATGAGGACACTGTGGTCAGTGATGTGGCTTTCTGAAGGGCACCTGAGCCCAGGCCTGGGTTGTAACACTCTGTGTTTCCATCATCAAGCAGCCCCTGTAAGACTTGTGGGCTCCAGACCTGGCCCAGAGGTATGTGAAATTTACAGGTGGCTTCAGTTATGCCGTCAGGGGCCATGAAGACCCTATGGAACACCCTATGCCGTCCTCCAGCTGAACGCTGGGCACATGGAGGACAAATGGTGCGGTGGCTTGGGTCCGGACAGGGCAGATGAAAAGCAGGCACCTCACCCAGCCCTTTCCCTCTCCCCATGCTGTTGGTGCTGCCCAAGGACACATAATGGCCCCAGCCTGGAATTTCATAGAACTGACACGTGACAGGCAGGCAGCTCTGTGTGCCCACTCACCTGGAGCTGCCAGACCCTGGGAAGCCTGGGGTCAGGACTGAGAGAAGCAGTAGGTCTTGGAGAAAAGGTTTCCTCACCTGTTAGCCAGGCACTTCCTGTCAATACCCCAGAGAGAGTCAAAATAGGTATTTCCAGCGTGGCCCTGCAACCCCACACACCAGAGATGGCTCTCAGATAACTACCTCCAGGTTCTGGGTGTTTTCAGAGAGGAAGAGTACAGGGCAGGATCTCAGTTAATTCTCATGTCTGCCCCCTTTACAGATGAGGAAAACAAGGCCCGGGACAGTGATGTCCCCTGCCAAGATCACACAGCACGTGCAGCAGCTGGGACCCAAAGTGGGCTCAGACCCGGCGCCTGGGTGGCCTGCCTCTCTTTCGATCATGTGGTAATAAACAAGGAGCTCTCACTCAAAATCTCCCTGGGATCTGGAGCCAGAAGCAGCAGGTTCAAGTTGCAGGGCAAACCATTTAATCCTGTGCACCTTAGTTTCTGCATCATAAACCAGGGTAAGGACAATACTGCCCATCTCCTGGGCCAATGCCTCCTCCTTCCTGGGCTTTTGTGGGGGTCAAGAGAAAAGGAGGGTACAGAATGGGGGTGGCCTTGGGCAAGCTGCTTCACTTCCCTGTGCTTCCATTTCCTCATGTGTATTGTGACTGTCTCTCCTGTAGGGTATATGGGACAACAAGAGGGGGACAGGGTCTCTGCAGGAAGGTTGTGCAGGACAGGGGGGTGGGGGTGGGGTCACAGCTGGGTGGAGTGACCCCCTCCCATCCATAGGGTCTCCAAGGTACAGTGAGGACACGGCAGGCTGAGGGGCTTCCTTGCTGGGGATAGCTCTGGCTCCCCAAGAACTGGCCCCTGTCTGTCCCCCTGTCAGGGGCAGGACTTAGGAGGACAGGGGTGGGGCATGGAGGTCACTGTTTGCCACTTGAGGGGCACCGCTTTTTCTGGGGTGGGGCTGAGGCTCCCCTCATGCTGCCCTTCTCCTCTCTGAACTCCAGTCTTAGGCCGGGATGTGATTTCCTGGAAAGTAGGGATGCTTCCCAGTCTCCCGGGCTCTGCAAGCGGATGGAGGATCTGGGTTTTGAGATCTTCTCTGGAGTCAGATGATCTCAGCAAATGCAGTCACAGCCACCCCCGCCATCCTATTTCCTGGGTATTTCCCGACGTGGGGCCGGGGGAAGGTGTGGGAGGGATGGGCTGCACAGGAGGGGAAACGTGGCTCCTGGATAATAATAAACATAGTGGCTTCTGTTTATTGAGCCACTACAGCACGCCAGGCACTGTGGCAAGCTGTTTGCATCATTACTTCATTTAAAGCCCACAAGGTAAATACCAATATGCAAAGGAGGAAACTAGGGCTCACAGAGGGAAGTGAGGTATTCAAGGTCAGAGCTGGGAGGTGGCGGAGGGGTCTGCTGCGCCTCCCACCCTAAGGTGCTCGCATTCACCCAGAGGGAAAGAGGGAGCTGCGCCCTTCCTCTCCCCCCAGGCCAGGCAAGAGGTCTCTCTCCAGCTTGTGACCTCAGGGAGAGCCTCGGTACCCACAGCGGGTTTCCTGAATAAATGATCCTTCCTGCCCTCTCAGGGAAGTTCAAGGTTATAAAAAAAAAGCTACCAGCCCCATAAGCTGTCTTTTGTTCTCATTTCCCCACATGCTGGCCCTCCCAGGTGGGCTTCCTGGAGTGCGGTGTCTGTGCCTCTCTCCTGCCTGCCTCAGACACTGGCTCCCTAGGGCCCAGCTAGGTGACCCCAGGCAGGTCGGTTAACCGCCCTAGACCTCAGTTTCCACATCCCTCAATGACAGTACCCATGCTTTGTAGAGTTATTGTTGAGGTATAAATTGTGCAAGTAAGTACTGAGTTTTTATCATTATGTAATTGTGCGCATGTAAACTATGTGTTGTTACTATTGTTATTTAGTTCCTAATATGTGCCAGGCAGTTCTTGTATCTTATTTTACCTTCACATTCAACTTCAAAGGTAGATACCATGATCTTTATTTCATAGGTGAGGATCTTTATTACAATCAGAGAGGGGGAGATACTTTTCTAAGGTCACACAGTAAGTAGAGCTGGATCCAAATACAAATCCTAGGCACTCTGTGCCCTAAATGCATCAGCCCTGTGAGCCACTGGGCCAATGGAAAGCTCTGCCCTCCCTCCAGCCTTGTAAGTGCAAGTGGGCCCACGACCTCTCCTCCGGCAGGAGGGGCTGCTCCACAGTGGCACCCCCCACCCCCAGCTGTAGCTTCTACACATGTGCATGCATGCCCCTGTGTTGTCATCTTTGACTTTGGAGCCAGAAAGACCTGGATTTTAACTTCAATTGTTTTTTGACCTCAGGTAAGTAACATCACTTCTCTGAACCTCAGTTTCCTTTTTATAAAAATTAGTTTTTTTGAGACAAGGTGTTGCTCTGTCACCCAGGCTTGAGTGCAATGGTGTGATCACAGTTCGCTACAACCTCAAAATCCTGGCCTCAAGCGATCCTCCGGCCTCTACCTCTCCAGCAGTTAGGACTACAGGTGTGTGCCACCATGCCCAGCTAATTTTTTTTTGGTGCAGGTGGGTCTTGCTATGTTGCCCAGGCTGGTCTCAAACTCCTGGCCTCAAGTGATCCTCCTGCTTTGGCCTCCCAAAGTGCTGAGATTACAGGCATGAGTCACTGCACCTGGCCAGCCTTGGCTGGTAAGATGGGGTCCCTGTGATTGCTGTGAGGTTGAAAAGAGAAGTCATGTCATGTGCTCACATCATGCTTGAAACATGATGTGAGTGTTTAACAGATGTTAGCAACTGTGAAGGCGTGTGTGGCAGGAGCACGTGTGTGAACGCGTGTCCTGTGTGCAGATTCGAGAGCATCTGTGACAAAGGCCAGCTCGTGCATCTGGGCCCTTATGATTTGTACAGGTGGCAGTAGAGTGCTTATGTGTGTGTGAGGCCGTGTGAGAGGCACCAGTGAGAGGGACTGGTTCAGCCGCAGAGGTCCTTGGACTGGCCACGGTCACTGTCTCAGACGGTCCAGTGTCCCTACAGGTCCCAGGTCATGCTGGCCCTGCCTTTGCTTGTGCGGACACCAGGGAGGAGGAGCAGCTCTCTCCAGCATGGGCACCACCTCGCCTCAGGGTCCTCCCACCTGGAAGTGCTGGGGCAGGGCCTGGTCACCTACCCCTCCCTCGGGGACTGAGTTCTCACCCTCCTGTCAGGGCTGCCCACAGCGCCAGCACCAGTGGTCCGGCTCCCACCAGGAGGCCTGTTCCAAAGAGCAAACTTAGCGCCACGCGGGCCACATACAGCCCTGTCACTCTCCCTGGTGGAACAGGGAGGCATTTTTAGCAACAGACTCTTTTACCCAGAACACGAAAGGGAGATGCTGCCAGGAAGCACGCATACATATACATGAGCACACAGCTTCGCAAGCAGCCTAACCGCAAACACGCTGCCTTAACCGGAAATGTCAGGATCTGTGTCGGATCAGGTCTGTGCTCTGAGGGACACGGGCAAGGCAGACAGCCAGGGCCAGGGCACGGAAGAGGGAGGGACGCCCCTGACGAGGTCCTATCCCAGAGCCAGGGAGAGGGAGCCAGAAGGACAGTGAGTTTGTGTCTTGGCTTCACAGCAGCGCTGTGTCTCTCTAGGATCAGTGTTTGTGGAAAAGGAATCTGAGCGGGGGTCCCATGTCCGGCTCTGCGGAGTCAATCCTCGCATGGGGAACGGGATTCCACCGGCCCCTGAGGGCCCCTACCGGGCCTGTGGTGAGATATCAGCGAGATCACACGCTGGGAATGCCTCCCGATCACAGAGGACAGCCGACAAAGACACTGAACATGCCGAGTCCTCTCTTTGTGAGACTGGAGAAGGGCGGTGAAGCCACTGAGGCCGACACACATGGTGCTGCCTCCCCGGCACAGAGACAGGGCTGTGGGGCCTCCAACCAGAGCCCAGGGCCCTGCCTGCTCTTCCCAGGGGAAGCTCTGGTGGGCCCGAGAGCCCGAGATGAGAAATCGGTTCAGGAGATGGGATGGGAACAGGATGGGGTTGTTGGCGGGCCATGTGCCTTCTACTGAGTCTCCCGGGTCTGCCCCACGCAGCACAGGGATAGCGGCTAGGGCTCCCTGAGAGCAAGGTTTGTGTGTTGGTGAGCCAGGGTCCTAAGACCACCTAGCAGGTCCGGGGACCGCCTCCTTGGGGGAGGATATGGTGTGCCTGCGGGCTCTTGAACCCTGGCTGGGAGGGGTGTCTGGGCCAACCTGCAGGCTCTGAGCCAGGCAGTGCCATGGGGTGTTCACAGAGGAACGACTGCCTCCACCCACTGTGGGAAGATCAGGCCCAAACCCCAGAGCCAGGTTTGGTGACCAACACCTGCCCAGGACAGTCCTCAGCTAAGGCTAGTTTTCACTGTGCCACTGACTCGCTGTGACTCCCAGGGCAGGTACTGTCCTCACCTCTGTGGCCGTCAGTTTCTCTACACTGTGGGTAAAAGAATGGGTTTGACACAAACGGTGACTCCCGCAGGGCTGCCATTCCTGCTTGGCCTGCCAGCTGCGCCCTGGAGCTTCCTCACCCAGGCCCCGACCCGACAAGATGCAGCCAAGCCCACGTGCGAGAGCTCCTACGCCTTTTTGAAGCCTCACCAAGCGCCCCTTTGGGATTCCTGTGGGGGTGTTGAAGGCTGGGCAGGGTTTCTCTCCCAGTTGATGGCCGTTTATTCGGAACACCGTAAGAGGAGGGTCAAAGGGGTATCATGAAGGCCAGACCTAGGTGGGGCAAGGTCACGCAGAGAAGCTGCTGCTGGCAGGAATAAACGCCAGCCAGGGGCTGCAGCCAGAGCAGGAGGCGGCGCTGGCTGGCGTACTGGCCCTCTGACCACCTGGCTCCCTGGCCTTTGGTGAAGGCAGCTTCCCTCTTGAATCTCGAGTTCCCTTTTCTTTTTGTTCCCCCCCCCCAGGACCAATGACGATACTAATTGCCCTCCTCAAGAGCACGGAGGGAGAATAAATGAGATAACGGCCTGTAGAAGACTTTACGCGACAGGTAGGGATCTGATGAAGGCTTGACAAACTAGAATGTGTGACTGCAGCGTGACCACTGGGAAGATGCAGGGAAGGACAGGCAGGGCGGGGAGAGCCACCTCCAAGTCCAGGTGAGGGACTGGTCGAGACAGGCTGGGTCCCGATCGGGCAGTGCCCTGCCCACATCGCGGCCCAGGATGTCACAGGTGGAGGACGTAGGAAACAGGCAGTGCCAACTGGGCAGAGTGTAAACAGTACCGCTCAGGGGCCGAGACCCCAGGATCCAGAAACCACTGCCCCCCCCCCACCGCAAGGTTCCCTTCCTGGGTGCGGGGGCAGAGGCAGGGCCTTTCCTTCTCAGACACGCTGATTCCACCACTGCTCCCCCATCTCTCAGATGGGGATACGGGGACGAGGGCAGCGGCCCCACCCCCCCACCCCACAGCACAGCCAGGGAGCCGCAAAGGGGTCCCAGGCCTCGAAGCCTGCCGAGCTGCTGACCCCCTCAAACTGTCCCTCTGAGATGCCCGATTACGTCAAAAGCACCTCTGACCATCCAACTCGGCAGTTTCCCTCATAGGAATTTGTTCTAAGGAACTAAATAATCAAGGATGTTGTAAAGATTTAGCTTTATGGGTATTTATTCCAGCATCGTTTAGAATAGTGGGAAAAATTGGAAACACTCTAAAATATCAAATAGGAAAGTGGTTAAATGACAGGTCATCTGCACAATGGGATACTAGGCAGCCACTCAAATAGTGCCGCAGGGGAATATTTAACAGGAAGGAAAGGGTTGATAATCTATTAACAGAAAGACATTTCAAAACAGAGTAATTCAACTTTTAAAGAAATTGTATGGATGCGTGAGGAAAGGAAGGAAATACACTAAAATATGAATAATGGTCTTGGAGGGGTAAGTTTGTGGATGATTTTTCTTTTCTGTTTTGGGCTCATCTCTATCTTCTGTGCAATTTTTATAATAAAAATGAAGTTCATTAATTGCTTTTTGAGACAGAGTCTCACTCTGTTGCCTGGGCTAGAGTGCTGTGGCATCATCGTAGCATAGCTCACAGCAACCTCAAACTCCTGGGCTCAAGCGATCCTCCTGCCTCAGCCTCCCGGGTATCTGGGACTACAGGCATGCGCTACTACGCCCAGCTAATTTTTCTATTTTTAGTAGAGATGGGGTCTCGCTCTTGCTCAGGCTGGTCTCGAACTCCTGAGCTCAAGCAATCCTTTCCCCTCAGCCTCTCAGAGTGCCAATGTTATTTGTTTTTAAAGCTGAGACACAAGCCCCTAAACAACCACTCCAAGTGGGACACACACGGGTCTTTTTGCTTCTGGAGCTTGAGGGTGACCCAGTTTGCTGTCCTCCTGTGGTTGTTGCAAAACAGAGTCTTCCTGAGTCCTCCCCGACCCCAACGATTACAAATTGCTGAGGCAGCTCTTTAGGGAATGCAGAGGGAGAGGAATTGCAGGACACTTTAAACAGGGATGTGGACTTGAGGCCTCTGAGGGGTGGTCCTCTTGCTGAGGGAGGGAGGGACGGAGAGAAAGAAGGGCTGTGCTGGGAAGGGCCAGAGAAGATGAGAATGTCCAGTGCCAGACAGTGGGTCCCAGAAGTGGGCACTTCTGATCCCTTCGGCCACATCAGATTCCTTGGGGAGTCGGTCTAGAATTCGAGTCACCCCAGAACAACAGATCTGTTCTCTGGGGTGTTTGGTGCACGGCCAGGTTTGGAAGCCACTGGTTTAGCAACAGCCAGGGCTCTCAAGGCCCTGGGTCTCATCTGATGCTCCTGACATATTCACCCAAACTCTGGGAGGCTGGCCACAGAGGCACAGAAAGCCAGCCCAAGGCGAGCAAACGAACCCACTGGAACGGGAATCTGGATGCTGCGACTCCAGGCGGCTGTCTGGCTGCCCTCAGCCCTGAGGAGCTGAGCCGGTGCTTCCTGAATGCTCCTCTCTGCTGGTGAGCCACGTCTCCTCCCTTGGAGGCCCTAGAGAAGGCCCCGCACGGGCGAGCACCCCAGGGGATGCTGGGAGAGCGGTGCGGAGAGGAGCGCCAAGTGTCTTACGTGAATTTCCTTCAGTCCTGGCAACAGCCTGTGGGGAAGGTGCTCACCCACTTTGAGGATGAGAAAACTCAGAGAAGTGACTTGTCCAGGGTGGTGGAGCTATTAAGTGGCTCTTTTCCAGAACAACAAGCTGCCTGTCCAGCACAGGGACATGGCTTCAGTGGCCACACTTCCAGAACAGGGGTGAGAGAAACCAGCAAGACTGATATATTCTGTAGGGTGGAAAGGGTGGGGTGGGGAGTCAGCGCCTGCGTTCGGATTCTCGCACTTAGCAGCTGTGTGACCTTGGGTGGGCCGTGCACTGTCTCTGATGCCCTGGCTGCTCCACAGGGTTTTTGTGGACATTGAATGAGAGGATGTATGTGCGTGAATGTGCTCTGTAAACTGTGAAGTGCGGAGCCAACTCCACTCGGTGCAGCTGTGGTTATGCCTGCTGTCCTCATGGGAGCTGCGTGTCAGTAGGACTGGCCTACCCAGCAGGGGATCCCTCTCCTGCAGCTGCTTTCCTCTGTGGCAGGGAGAAGCCTCAGCCCAGGAAGACCCCAGGTGTGGGGTCTCCCAATATTCATTCCACAAACATCTGTGGGAAATTTCAAGCACGGAAAAGACCCATTTAATAGGCCCCCACGTCGTGTGAGCTCTAGGACCAGAGAGGAGGGAGGCCTCAGTCCGGTACGGCTGAGCCCTGGTGACAAGCAGCAACTCCGGGCCGGGCTACAACCCCGGCACACGGTAGAAAGGCCGCAGGGTCAGGAGTCAGGCACAACACAGCCCGCAGAGAGTGTGCAACCGAGTAAGTTGCTTCTTCTAAGTTTCCGTGTCCTCATCCACAAATTAGCGAAAATACCCACCTGATGGACTGCTGAGCCTCCAACAAGATCATGCATGTAGGGCGTGTGGTGCGCTACCTGGCATGGGGAGGTGCTTGGGGGCAGAGAGGGCTCATGAAGGTGTGGCTGTGGGCAAGGGCTGTGCTGGTCGACTCAGGAGCCCGCCTGCCCAGGGGTTCTGTCCATGCCAGCCTCTCCTTGAGCCCTTTGAGCTGTTTCTGCAAGTCAGATTGCTGGTCCCTTCTAGGGAGTCCAGGCCTCAAAGCAAGTTCTCAGAACCACAGACACCCTCGGGGAAGGAGGAGGATGGGAGGGCTGGGGAAGAGCGATGAGTCTGAGAAGCCTCCAAATCCTCCCTGACCCGAGGACTCCCAAGCCGAGCCCTGTGCGCCTGAGCTGCATCCTCCCCTCCCCTGCACCCCGTCTCCACCGACCACAGCCAGGCTGGGCAAGTGCCAAGAGGGGAGCGGACGCCTTCTTTCTGCTCCTTCATTTACTTGCCTGGGGTTCTCAAATGAAATTCAAGCTTTGGGTGGTTCAAAGCTGAGGGCTCCCATCTACAATTATTTGGGGACAAATTGGCACAAGCCGTAATCTCTGCACAGGAGATTATGCTGGATGGAGAGAGGCCCAGGCGACTGGAGAGATAAGCACACGCCTGTTGCGCTAAACCCTTGACTTCAGCCTGCGCGGCCTGAACTGCTGAAGGGAAGTGGAAATGACTTTCCAGACAACAGCAGCGAGGTGAAGAGGGATTATTCTGTGGTTTGCTTGCCTCACCTCCACGGCTCCTTAGGCGGCATCACTATTTGTCTCTGGGTGGACAGAGCCGGGGCCCCACGGCAGCCCCTGAGTAACAGGGAACAGAACTGACCCCTGACAGTTGTTCCGGGGACTGGGCCGACCCCACACCCTGTACATTCCTGCTGTACTTTCAGGGAAGCTGCTGAGGAGGGATGAAGGAGCTGCTGCTTCCACAGAGCTCTGTGGTTTACTGAATGTTCTGGCGGAGAGAATACGGGCTGTGGGGCCAGCAGCCCCAGGGGCACACCCTTGCTCCCCTACCCCATTTCGTAAGAGCTCGTTGAGCTCAGGGGTACTAGGAAAGGGTGGGAGAAGGGCCCTGCCCAAGGCCATGAGCAGGGAGCAAGGTGCGGGGGAGGTCCAGGTTCCCTGACAGCACCTGGTTCTGCCTTGTGGCCACACACCTGTCAAGACCCTCCTTCTGGGAGCTGATGCACCTCACCCAGGAGCAAGGCCTCGCACTATGTCATGTGACCAGCCGTGGCTGCCCCATCCCCCCTGCCGCCCCCCTGAGACCTGGAGCAGAGTCTGGCTGGGAGAAGGCCCAGGTGGGGGCGGCTGTGGAGGACACCGCCTAGGGGCCTTGGCTTTATCAATCCCAAGGAACAACACTTGTGACACTCAGCCCCGGTACTTGCTGGGAGCTGCGGAGTCTGAGTGGATGATGTGTGGACACAGCTGTGGCCCTCAGAGAATTTACTTCCATCTGTGGGAGCCAGTTGGGCTCACCTGCGCAGTAGAATTGAGGCATCAGAGAGACAAGAGGAAGGTCTTCAGGTTGCACGTGGAAAACAGGCCCTCATGGGGGACAGAGGTGGCCCGGGAAATCCCCTGCCCCTGTAAGGCCCTTTTCCCCTAGGTGGAATGAGCGGGAGGACTGGAGCCTCCAAAGCCCTTCCCAGCCTGGAGAGTTCAGGGGCCTCAAAGCGCCAACTCACCTCTTCCCCCGTCAGGTAGAAGGCCGAGAGGAGCCCTCCGATGTAGCGAATGTTCACCTCAAACAAGGATGCTTCTCCGCTCTGTAGGACAGACAGGAGGAGGGAGGACAGTGGGGACACCTGTGACATGCCTGCAGGGCTTCCAGAGGCAGCTGGTCCCTTGAGACAGGGCACCCCAGCCCCCAACCTGTGCCTGGTTCCGGGGCAACCTCAGTGGGCCAGGCAGCAAATGCTTGGGGTGGTTTTCATAGCAAAAGTCAAGAGGAATCAGCACCTGCCTGGCGGCTGGTGGCTACTGCACATTTACAGCGTTCCAAGTCACTGCTGGCTTTGGCTTCCTTCCCCAGCCCTTGCCCCAGGCCATGGGCGCAAAGTTATGCCTGGCTGCATGCCAAGAAGCTTGAGAACCTGCCTGGGGAGCTGCTGGCTGAAGCTCAGCCTGAGAGGAGGCAAATCCTCCTTCGGGCCACACCTCTCCTTTCCAGGGGAGCCCCCACCGTTCAGCAGGAGGCCGAGAAGCCCTTCCCTGGGGGGCAGGGCTGAGCAGGAGGGTGCCAGGCAGATGCTGGTGGGTAACTAGCAACTTCTCAGGCCCCAGCTTTGGGAGCCTGCAGGGCACACCCACAGTTACTTCCATCATTGCTGTTTTCTTTCTCAAGTTGGGACTGCACATAAGGGGTGTAGAGGCATCATGCCAAGGACAAGATCTGGGTTAAAATCCCACCTGAGCCACTTACTTGGCTTCGGCACTTTAGACAAGATACTTAGCCTTTCCCTGCCTGAGTTTCTTCACCTGCAGAGCAGGGCTGACGATGCCTCCCATGCGGGTGGATGTGGGACTTAGGGTGCTGCAGGTGAGAGCTGCCCAGAGCCTGCTGGGACCTGCCTTGTCCCGGAGGGCTCCCCGGCCTGCCCTCCGCATCGCAGTCTGATTATTACTGATAGCAACAGCGCTCATCTGTCACTTTGGGAGAAAGCAAGGTTCACCTTCCTTTCTTCCAGGGACACTCCCTACCCTGCCCCAGCCTGCCTGAGTGTCCCCAGGCTCCCCAGGGACCCTGGGCAGCTGCCTGATGCCCATCCTCTGTCCAGAGGGGCCATTGTCTGCACGGGGGTGGAGGAGGGCCTGTGAAGACACTCCTTCCCTCTGCTGCCTCTGCCCTTCCCCAGCTCAACAGAGGAGGTAACGGGAACATTCCGAATGTCCCTGGCTCGCACAAACTACCAGAAGTCATGACAGTCTCAAAGTAATCCCAACAACTATTGATGATGGCGACACCACTTTCCCTGTGTGTCGGACTTCACGGTGTTATGATGCGCTGTTTACAGTCCTCTGCTGTATTTAATCCTCACAATGGGCCTGTGAGTTAGGCGTTATTACTGCCATGGTCGTCATCCTGGTCATATAGTGGAGGAAATTAAGGCGCAGGGAGGTTAAATGACTTTTGCAAGCAGGATGTGACAGGCAGCAGGACTCACTTCCCTCCCGGGAAGCTCCCCCGAAGTGCTGCCTTCCCAGACTCCTGGGTTGTCTCTCTGCCAGGCTCTGTGGCAAACTGTCTCTGTCTCGCAAGGGGGCAGAGGCCTCGTTTGTGCCAGGAGCCCCACACAGCCCTGCGGCACGTTTGGATGCCGCCCTCCTCCCTCCCATCTTGCTTCCGTCTGGGCTGAGAGGTCAGTGGGGTGGGGGCTGCTGTTCGAGGCTTTTGTGCCATCTAGACACATTACGCTCCCCTCCGCAAGGCCCTTGTCCCTGACTGGGCGAGCCTGTGAGGCTGGAAACCAAGAGGGTTCTGGGCCTGGTCATGCGCCTCCAACCAGATGCAACACCCGTCACGGCGCCCCGGTCCTGCAGCCGTCTCAAGAGGGCAGTATGGGGGCTCAATGCTGGAGCAGCTCGCAGCTACTTCTCCCCCCAACAAAGCCACTTCCCCTTGCGGCTACTGCTGGTGGCTGCTTTGTGTGATAGACCCAGCCCTAGACGGCCATCCTGGGGTGAGCACCATGCCTACGATGAGCAATGCCTGATCTCTCGGGGAGAAAAGGGATGGTCGTGGCTGTCTTTCCCGTCAGAGGAGGACACTGAGCTGGGGAAATGTCCCCACCTCGAGCCTGGCCTTAAGGGAGGTGCTCAGTACAGAGGGCCCACAGCCCTGGTTCTGGGACTGCTCTGCTGTGCAGCCTTGGGTGAGACCCTAGACGTCTCTGGGTGTCAGCGATGACAGGGAGGAGCTGGCTGCTGGACCTGTTGGGCCCCTTCTGGCCCTAACACCCAAGGGTCTCTGACTCACCACGTTCAGGTGGAAGCTCTCTTCAACCCAGGCCTTGGCCTCTTGGAACTCCTTCTTCAGCTCCATGAGGTAGAGGGTGTCAAGAGAATCAATGACCGTCGCCCCACTGAGGCCTCCTGCAGGCACAGAGTATCACAGGTGTGACCCAGGGTCATTCTTATCCTTTCCATCCCCAACTAGACAAGCCGTCATCCCCCGGACCTCCTCTAGTGCCTGGGCAGGCTCTGAGGCAAAGACTGGACCCAGGCATGACCCAGGGTAGTCCAGTGCCACCAGCGAAGGTGAGGCTGGGACCCAGCGTACTACCCGTGGGCTGTTTCCTCCTCAGGGCAGCAAAGAGCAGCCGGGGAGACCAAGCTCCCAGGCTGAGCCACTTCCCAGACCTTGGCTCACTCTTTCACGATCAGCGAGTCTACTATTGGTGCCACTTTTTCTGCTTTGGCATACAAAAATCTTAACAAATGTACAAGTCCTCCTACCCTTCAATTCTACACCTCATTTTATTCTAAGAGAAAAAAAATAAAGACATTCATAAATATTTAATCAGGAAGATATTTGTTATAGATAGTATCATGTATAATGGGGGAAGGTTGGGAAAAAGTCTCCAAGTCCAACAATAGAGAATTGTTATATAGGCTGGGTGTGGTGGTTCACACCTGTAATCCCAGCACTTTGGAAGGCCAAGGTGGGAGGATTGCTTGAGGCCAGGAGTTCAAGACCAGCCTGAACAACATGGAGAGACCCCATCTCTACAAAAAATAGAAAAAGCTGGGCGTGGTGGCATGCACCTGTAGTCCCAGCTACTTGAGAGGCGGAGGCAGAAGAATCTCTTGAACCCAGGAGCGTGAGATTGCAGTGAGCGTTGAGTGTGCTGTGATGATGACACTGCACTCTAGCCCAGGTGACAGACCCGTCTCAAAAAAAAAAAAAAAAAAAAGAGAGAGAGTGAGAGAATTAGTTATATAAATTATGGCTTAAACATAAAATAGGACACTACACAGCCATTCACACAGGTGAGACAGACTTGTGTTTATTTACTTGGTGATCTATCCATGGGATCTGTTAAAAAAAAAAAAAGTAGGTTGCTGCAAAAAAAAAGCACCTCATATAATTTCCTTATTGTAAAGCAAAGTGTGAACTGTCAGAACTGGTCTGGAAGGATGTGATCCGGTGCTTCTCTTTGAGTGCTGAGATAACAGGTGCTTTTTGATTCCTTCAGCTCATGGGTTTGTTTGTTTTTTTATAACCAGAAATTTATTTCTATTTCTTAAAAAAGTAAGGAAAGTTTCGGCATAGAAACCAAACAAATTCACAAACCAAAAATTTCATGGCCACTCTTCCTAGGGCAGTGAGTGCACAAAGAGCAGGCTACCAGGCCTGGCCCCTGCCACTGGGCATTAGACTTTTGTCCTGGGAATAAAGGCTGAGGAAATTGCAAAATAATAGTTTTTCAAACTGTCAAGTCGTAATGAGAAAGACTTCATCCAGCACAACCAGAGCCTGCAGCTGTAGAGGACTGTGAAAGACAAGGGGAGGGAGAAAGAGATGTGCCTGGTGTCATCTGGAAGGCTTCCTGGCGGCAGTGGCTGCCTCCCATCAGCTCCTTACAGAGTCATTGCAGGCAGCAGCAATTTCCTTTAGGGATCAGAGTGTAGCTCTAAGAGGAGTCATTGTTCCTTTAGCGTCCTCACTGCAGAGGCTGGCAGCACGGAGAGGCACGTGCAGGCTCTGCCTTCCCCCAGAGGAAGCTCTAGAGCCTGCTGAGCCCCCTAGAGTCTGAGGTGGCGGCCTTGCCAGCACCCCCTGAACTCAGACTTAGCGCCTCATCTCCTAACTTAGTGCCTCCTAACTGCTCCCTTGCCTGACTTTGCAGGCAGAGAATCCTTCTGGAGCGCAAATACTTGACTACCCTTCGGCCAGGCAAGGTCTGATAAAGGGCACTGCATGGCGGAAGAGAGAGGGGGAGGGAGGGGAAGCGGGGAGCAAGATAAGGCTGGAGGTTAAAGAACCGGTTACCAGAAGGGAGGGTTGGCAAGGAGGGAGGAGAGGGCTCTGGACCCAGTCACAAGTCCTGGGGTGGCTTCCGTATTTGGGTTGAAGTGAATTTCCAGACTGTCAGCCCCTCCCACGCTGAAGGACTGGCAGGAAAACACATCAAAGCCAAACAGAGCTAGAGCCTTTCCTGGTTTGTCGCAGCTGCTTCCCTGTAGGTGGCAGGGCTGAACAAAGTTCCTGGGGATGTCTTTACCCTGTGGAGGGGCTCAGGCAAGGGGACAGAGGACAGCTGAGATGTGCCCAGGTCACAGGCTGCTGGCCTGGCATCCGCACTCCTGGCTCTGCGGCCCCACAGCTTCATTTCACAGATGAGGGGCCCGAGAGGGGAGGGAACGCACTTAAGATTGGGCCAAGGGAGGACTGGCCCACCCCCAGGTCAGGCTGAGGGTAATGTTTTCCAAGCAACTCGGTGCCTTTCAATTCTCTGTGAAACTTCGGATCTGATGGCTGACCTGACCCCACCTGCCTCGCTGTGTGGCCTTCAAAGCCAGGGGGAGGTGGCCCCTGGTGTCTGATTTCTGAATCCTGCCCTGGGCTGCCTGGTGTTTCTCCCCATGGGCCCTCCTTCCTCTGGGCCAGGCGGGAGGGCAGCCAGGGCTCCTCGTGACCAGGATGCCTCTGGGGACGCTCGATGCAGCCGGCTAAGAAAGCAGCCCGCTAAGAGGTTTGCTGGCAAGGTCTTGCCCCTGCTCTCAGGCTCCCGAATCCTTCTCTTGGTTGGCCTCCTGCCCCTGCCCCCACCTGGCACACGGCTGAGCTGCGGTCCAGCAAGGCACTTATTAGAAAGCCTTTCATTCCAGGCCAGAGGTTTGCCCAGCAGCCAGGAGGGGCAGGGGAGAAGGTCCTATCCTGAATTCAGCCCTATCTGCACCTGCGGCTGCCCAAGGGAAAGAAACACTCCCTGTTCAGTAAACAGGCCCATGATTTATATGCAAAGAGCCAACAGGGCACAAAAAGTCACACAGCCAGCTTGGATGCTTCCCTGGGGCTGCCTCTGGGGCGGGTTCCATGTTGGTCCACTCTCCTAGCTCTAGCTCTGAACTCCTGGGGTTCACAAAGGACACCTCCCCATTCCTGCCAGGATAGGAGGCAGTGAGGTGTGTTAGAAAGAACACAGGCCCAGGACTCATAGACAGCCCTGGGTTCAGATCCCAGTATGGGCCAACAACACATCTGCTCTAAGCATCAAAGTGCTCATGTGTAAAATGAAATTAAGACCACTGGGTTAGGGCACTGGGGAGCCACTGCAGGCTGTTGAGCAAAGACAAATACATCATTTACATACCTGGCCTAAATACAGCTCTATATTACTTGGCACAGAGTAAGTGCTTGATAAATCAGCTTACTGTTATTTCCGGGGTCCCTTAGCTCACCTTGAAAGAGTGGCCTGACCAGGAAGCAGGGAAGGGAGACTCCCTTGTCCTTCCCTATGGGAGGGTAGGGGATGCTCCCACCCCACTGTTCTGATCTTTGGCTACTGAATAAAGCCTTTGCAAGGCAACCTCACACAGTGGCTATGAGGCTGGCTTTGGTGTCAGGGTTCATTACATACTAGCTGTGCACAAGGGCAGGTCATTTTACCTCTGAGCCTCATTCCCCTTCTCTGTAAAATGGGATGGCAGTAGGATCAACCTCAGAAGGCTTCTGGGAGGGTTAGATGAGGCAGTGGATGGACAGGGGGTGGCATGATGTTGGGTACACGTGGCCCTCCTTGCCCCCTACTGACTCTGGGCCCCTCCACAAAGTCTTCCTGGGTCACTGAGGGCTTGTTGTATGACCACATTCCTGACCCTCTCCCTCGTCCTGCAGGGCAGTGTGGGCATGAGATTGCAGCTTACAAAGCCCTTGGCCCAACTTACAGGTAAACCCTTAAGGCAGTTTTCCTTTATCTGCCACTGAGGCCATCACTAGCCCTGATCTGGGTATGCAGCTGCCTCCAAAAGGGTCCTCCTACCTTTAGAAACCCTTCCCTTTACCTGCGATTCACCCTATACATTGTTGCCTGACCTGTCTTCCTAAAAACAAATCCAACTGTGTCTCTCCCCAGCTCAGGAACCTGCAATGGCTCCTCAGCATCCATGCAATAAGAAGTGCATACTCCTGCTTCCATACCTTTGCATATGCGGTCTCCTCTGCCAAGAAAGTTTCTCTGTGCGTCTTGGCATGTTCAAAGCCTATGCATTCTTCAAGATCTGCCTCTCGGTGGCAGCCTTCCCAATTCTACTAGTTAACCAGAGAGTACCCACAGTGCTTTCTTGGGCCTCTGGATAGAGCATCCACTGCTCCCTCCCTGCACTGCAGGGCTCTGTCTCCTCTCCAGCCAGACTGTGAACTCTCAGAGGTCAAGGGTTCCTACTGCCTCTCTCATACCCGCTTCCCGCCACCCTTTCTCAGCCTTGTCTCTAAGTAGCTCCAAAGGCCAGAGCTCTCCAACCCAAACGGGCCACTTGTCATTCCCTGTGGCCTCCTCATACACCCCTACTGTTGTGACTCTTTTATACCTCTTCTAGGAATTCCCTTCCCCATTCCACCTTCTCATGTGGGAAATTGGAGTCCGCCTCAAATGGCTCGTTGCCCACGAAGCCATTCTGGTCTCCACCCCACTGTCTGCACGAGATCCCACCTTCTGTTGTCGGCTTGGATGCCTCTTGCTCTGAGAGGTCTGCCCCGCCCCCTGGGGCGCTACCCTCTAGGCCTGGTGCTGCGCACCTCCACCTCCCACACGAGCTCCCCACGCTTACTGCACTCTGAAGGGATCACTGTCCTGTCTCTGTCCCTTCATAGGAGCAGGGTTCTAGTCCACATCCGAGTCCTCCCCATGCTCAGGAAAGAGCTGCTGAGGGACGGTGGGAAGGCAGTGGCTGGCTGGCGGCCTCTCCCAGCATCACCGCTGCTGGCCCCTATGGGACCTTGGCCTTTGGGACGCTATTCTTCCTCTGGCTCCTTCTAACCCCATGATGGCTTCTTCCCAGGCTCCTTGGCTGGTTCCTGCCCATCTCCCGACCTCCAAAGACTTGGGTACCCTGGGGCTCTTGTCTTTGGGCTTTTGTCCTCTCTCCTTCTCTTAGTGACTTCATCCAACTTCAAACCTTAGAAACTATGCACCTGCTGATGACGCCCAGATTTAAATCTCCAGCCAGGGTCTTGTCCCTGAGCCCCAGACCCACATATCCAACTTCCTCCTCACACTCCCACGTGGAGGGCCACAGGCACCTCACATTTCACTTGTCTCAAAGCAAAGCCTGCTCCTCTCAGTCTTGCCCATCCTGGCCAATGCAACTCATCCTCACTGCTGTGGCCCCAAACCTTCGACTCTGTTGCTCACCCCTCATCTGGGCCTGCAGCAAACCCTGGTGGCCTTATCTCTGCAAGGCTTCGAGACCCTGCCCATGTCTCACCTACTCCATGTAACCACGTTGGCCCGGCCACCTCTTCTCTCTCATGTTTATTCCCAGGGTTTCTAACTGCCCCCTCGCCATCTGCCCTTGCCCCACCCCACCTACTCATCTGTCCTCAACATGCAGCCAGAGGGATTTTTAAAAACCGCAGGTCATCTCATGCCACTCCTCTGCTCAAAACCCTTCCATGGCTCCCACCTGACCTGGAGTTAAGAACCATAGTCCTTACAGTCCCTGGCGAGTCCGGTAACCCAGCCCTGGCTCCCTTTCGGCCTCTCTCCCTCCCCTGCAGCCACGTGCTGCTCCCTGAGCCCTCTAAGCCTACTCCCTGCTTGGCCCTGGCAACTGTAGGTTGCTCTGCTGAAACCGCACCCCCAGTCACCATGCCCTCAACCTCTTGATTTTCCTCATCTCCTTCATTGCCAGGATCATCATACACGGACCTGCGCACCTGTTCGCTGTGCGTCTTCTCCTGCTGGACTGTTGTCTCCTGGAGGGGAGAACTCTGCTCACCGCCACCCTCGCTGCCTAGAACACTTCCTAGCCCACCACAAGTGCCCATAAGTATTTGGGAATAAAGGGCCCCCTCCCCTGGGCGGGAAGGGCTTCAGGGGGCTGTAGGTCATTCACAACTGCTCACCCCTGGCTACACTGGATACTCAGAGGCACTAAAGGTAAATAAATGTGTTGGGTTGAACAAACTGAGCCCACCTCTACTCTAGGGGTTGCTGCCAATAGACAAAGACCCTGTCACCAGGCTGTGGCCAGATTGGCCTGGGTGACTAAGCATGCCCAAACCATTGCCTTGTAGAAAGCTTTTTGTTGAGAGAGTGTTAATCCCTACAAGGGAATGAACCCCCAGCTCCTGTAACCTCCTCCCCAGGAACCCCCTGCCCTCCTGGATCATGGTCTGTATCTCACTCTACTGGCTCTGCCATATTAACGGTGATGAGGTTTTTATGTGATATTACACCAAAGAGAAATGGGTTGGGTTGGCAGCACACACTCCAGGAAGAATATTTAGAAGGAAAAAAGTCACCCAAGGCATAGCCTATTACCACAACATCCCCAGAGCCACACACTAATGGTTGCATTTAATTTAATGACATAATCCACAGAGACTTTTCTTATCTGTAAAGAAACAACGCAAATGTTTTTCTCAGCTTCCACAGAAAAACCCATGTGGCTGTGTGGCAGATCATATTTTCCCAAAGATGGCTGCCATGGTATATCCCAGCCCACGGGAAGAATGAAGCTCTTCTTTTGACATTGACACTCCTCCGATGGCTCCTCCCCTTGAACCTGGGCAGACCACTGTGATTACCTCGACCTACAGAATAAAGCAGATGGGATGAAATGCTATTTTCTAGGTACAGACCTTAAGAAACTAGCAGCTTCCACATCCTGCCTCTTGGAATGATGGCTCTTAGAACCAGCCACCATATTGTGAGGAAGCCCAAGACAGCCCACAAGGAGAAAACACACTAAGAGGCCATGCGTCAAGTTTTCTGACTGACAGTCTCATCTGAGGTTCTAGCCAATAGCCAGCATCAATTCCAGACACGTGAATGAAAAAGCTTCCAGATAATATCAGCCCCCAGCTGTGGCATCAGCCTCAGCCTCTAAGCCTTCCCAGCTGAAGGCCCACACAAGGTGGTACAGAGACAAGCTGTCCCTGTTATGCCCTTTCTGAATTCCTGACCTGCTGAATTTGTGAGCATAATAAAATAATTGTTTCAGGCCACTAAGTTTTAGAGTAGTTTGTTATGCAGCAATAGCAAGTGGAATGTTGTGCCACATGGGTTTCTAAGAAGATTAATTAAAGTGATATCCCCACTACCCCAAAGTATATTGTTTAAAACCACAGCATCTTGTATGGCAAGGTCTTCTGGTTGCATAAAACCCTTTTAGGGATTGGGACCTCTCCATTTCTATCTGGTCTGGGGTTTTTTGTTTTTATTTTTAAATTTTTTTTCTTCAGCAGGGATATTTTCCTTGAATATTCCCACAACGGCTATTTCCTGGGTCACATAAAGTTGTGCTCAGAGGCTGAGTGTTTCCAGGCAAATGTTTCTTAGAGCCTCTGGGAGGAAAGGCATTTTTAAGGAGCTATTCCTGGAACCCAACAGAATGCTCTTACTTGAGGCTGATTAATAAACAATGAGCAGATCTGATCGTGTCAATGCTGTTTCAAAGCCATCAGTTCCCCCTTCCCCATTCTCCAAGTTCAAGCTCCTGGGCGCTGTGTGCAGAGTCCGTGGTCCAGGTGGTGGTGAACATTCCAGCCTCACCTCTCTCCTGCTCTCTCTGCAACAAACCACTAGCAGCTCCCCAGAACCCCTGGGGTGTCTGCTGACGTGAGTCCCCCGTGTGGGATGCCTTCCTGTTCAGAGTTGGCTTGGGACACACTTATTCATCTTTTTGGCCTCAGCTCTCGCACTAGGCCTTCTCCCAAGACATTCCTGAGCCACCAAGCAGACCTGACCACTCCCTTGACACCCACCTGGCTCTGCTGCGTGTGACTTTGTCCCAGCACTGCTTGCACTGTGTCATACATCTTTGCTTACGTGCCTGTGAATCCCAGGGGCAGTGACTGGCTCTAACTCTTCCCAGTGGCCCCAGCATCTGTCCCTAGGCCAGGCACAAAGAAGGTGGGGACAAGTGGCTGTTGAATAAATGAATGGCTAGTGGAAAAGCCGACAGCACTCTCTTGGGGATCTCTAGCACCTTACCAGGCCTCCTGACCCTGGAGAAGCGCGACACACACAGCAGTGGCCAGCTACCGAGAAAATCCCTGTTGGAGGGCAAAATGGACAGCCGCTGACCGCAGGGTCTTGGCGGAACTGACGGCTTCCTCCGCCCATCCCAAACTGCTGCCACTGAGGCTGGGGAATGTTTGCTGGGGGCCGGCTGCTGGATGAGGTTCCCTGTGACAAACAGCCAGACATGGTTCACCGAAATAGGACGCTGGACACAACTTCCCGTTGGAAAACATAGTGTGTTTATAAAATGCTAATATTTTGGTTGTTTTTAAACAAGAGCTGCAGGTGCTCTTATTTAAAGCAACCTGGATACCTGTGTTTAAAAACCCTCCGACCATGCTGCAGAGCAAGCTCTGAACTGCTTTTATCTCTTCCGAGAGAAGGAAAGGGCACATGGAGAAATTGCAGCTCCAAATGCTGCAGTGATACCGCCAAAGTCACACAGCTGAGGGCAGAGCCGTGACCAGAAACTACCTTTCAGACCACGTGACCTCACCTCGGCCCCTCTGGGGGAACCGCCAGCTGCGTTTGACAGAGCCAGGGCCTCTTGGGCCTGTGGGCACGGGTCACAATGCTTTCTTGGGTATACATTGTGGCCACACAGAGCCTTGCATTGACCACGGCAAACACGGCCTGTGGACCAGAGCCAAGAGGCGCAGATGTGTGGCCCTGATAACAAGATGAAGGATGATTGTTGGAAGGGGGAAAAGAAAGGAAATCAAAGATGCTCCATTCCCTCAAGGAACACAGAATTGGCAGAGGCAGTACCTGGTACGGAGCGAAGCCCCTGGGGAAGGTCCTTCTAGTTGCTGGGATGGCTGAGCTGCAGGCAATGGACCAGTAGAAAAGGCTGAGCCCTGGAGCCACAACAAAGACCAAAGTTTGGATCCACCACTTACTAGCTGCCTCAGTTTCCTCATCTGTACAGTGGGGGCAGCAATGCCTCCACCTTGCAAAGTGTCCTGAGGGCTAAAGATCACAAACAACGCTGGACACAGCACCTGCCCCAGCTGGCAGTTGCCAAGCCTGAGTGGAGGAAGATACCTTTTATTCTTTTTTTAAATTTTTATTTTATACTTAATTTTAAAGAATTTTAGATTTTCTTTCTGTTTGGTAGAGATAGGGTCTCACTCTTGTTCTGGCTGGTCTCAAACTCTTGAGCTCAAGTGATCCTCCTGCCTCAGCCTCCCAGAGTGCTAGGATTACAGGCATGAGCCACTGTGCTCGGCCAAGAAGACCTTTTAAGTCTCACAACAACCTGATGAGGAGAGTACAATTCCTGCCCCTGTTTTATAGGCAGGGAAACCAAGGCTTAGAGAATCTTGTAAATTCCCAAGATTGATGAACAGGGAGCCAGGACTCATCTCAGGCCATCTGCCTTGGTGGCTCTGCCCTTCGCTGTTGTGCCATCCTGCTCCTGCCCAGCTTTGGGGACTGTGCCTGGTACAGGGGCCCCAAGGAAGTGCCCTTGGCCTCAAGACCCCTGGCCACCTTCTCAGGGCCCCACAGCATGGCCTGCCCCTACCTCTCACCTCTAGGCTGGAGTAAGGTCCCCTTTGCAGCACGTACTGCCTCTCCCTGGGTAGCCTGAGCACCCCCTGTAGGAGCCTCACAATACACAGACCAGCCTGGCACCACTGCCACTGCCAAACCTCCCAGCTCCCCTTGGAGGGTAGGTGCTCTTCCTGCCTCTGCATTCTGGGCTCCCTGCTGCTCCCCCAGCCCCGGCTGTCTCACAGGAGGGTCTGTGTTGGTCTCTTTCTCTGACAGAGGAGCCTGGAAGGCAGAGATCCTGCCAGATTCATCTTTAGAGCCATCAAAGGGCCTAGCACGATGCCATGTGCATGGCAGGTTCTGAGTAAACGTGCACCGAATTAAACCAGAGAGAGAACTGAGACAGAGCCCAGAGCAAGCATGACCAGAGGCCGGACCAGGTGGCCCTTTCCATCAGACCCTTGGGAGACCCATCTCCAGCATCCGGTGAGGAGGAGGGGACCAGTTCACCCTCCTCCACAGACCAGGGGTCTTCCCTTTCTTTGGCTCATAGGCCCTTCCAGAATCTAATAGAGGCCACTCTACCTCCTCTCCTTAACTGGAAAGATACTCAAACACATTTTCCACGAAAGGCTGCCAGCCTCACTGGTGCTGACCACCTAACAGAGGAGGAGGGATTGGATGGGCCCGGGATGGATTTCCTGCAAAGGACAAGGAAAGGTGGTTGCTTTGGAATCAGGTAGACTTAGAATCAAATCTTCCTTTGCCTGTTACTGGCTGTGTGACTTCTGTCAGCTACTTTACCCTGTGAACCTCCTCTGTGAAGTAGGGACAATGCACGTTACTGCAGCAACTGCTGCTAGGAGATGCACAATGGGGTGTTTTTATTTATTTATTTATTTTCCTTTAAATGTATAGTAAATGGGCTGCAGGGGGTGCCTGTGAGTTGCCTTTCATTTGATTTTTTTCAGAGGCAGCAGTGATAGTGGCTGAAGCACAGGCTTCTAGTCCAAGCCTTGTGCCCACACCCAGGTGACTTAACCTCTCTGAGCCAGCAGGGGGTCTGCCTCTGCCGAAAGGTGCCAGTAATACCCCTGGAAGAGGTGGTGGCTTGGATGAGGTGACGGGTGCAGGAGGGGCAGGGGAGAGTGCCCTCCCCACTCGCCCATGCCCACTGCTCACAGCCCACCCAGGCCTCCTCCTGGCCGTGGCAGCCCTGAGCCCTGAGCATGCTTCCTGGGCGAGAGCTGCCTCTGCTTTAGATCTCGGGGCCAAAACAACTCACAAATGCAGCAAACGTGCCACGGCCTGGAAGACAGCTCTCCGCTTCAGAGAAAACACACGGTTCAATTTCCCAAAGATCGAACCCCGGGAGCATTTCAAGGCTTTCCTGGCGAGAGCAGTTCTCGGAACTCAGGAGGCACCACCCTTGTGTGACTGAACAATTAAAGCCACGAGTATTTGTCATTCTCAGCAAAGGTTTTTGGGAAAAAGGAAACTGAAAAAAAAAAAAAATCTGATTTTGGCAGCACAGTTTTCAGAAATATATGGTAATCCATTTTTGTCAATCCACGGAAGGCACGGCTCAAATCATTAAAAAGCCATCGTCCTTAATCATGCATGGAGAAGGCCGGTCTATGCCTCTCAGATCATTTTCAAATGGTTTCAGGGTAACTTTCAAAAACTGACAGGCAAGCAGGGAGGGGATTAGGGCAGACAATAATCTGAGGAATTTTTCTTTCTGGTTCTCAGAGGGCAAGGGATTTATCTGAGAGAAAATCACCACCCAAACCGTGGCCTTGGTGGCTGGGGGCAGTGGCAAGGGAGACCCCAGGGTGGATCAGGCCTGGCCCTCGGGGAAACTGCTGCTGCTTTCTCAGAAAGGCAGCAAGCAAATCCACAGTGAAACAGCCGGAGAATGAAGAGCTCTGATGCCTCATGACAGGTGCTAATAATAGGTGGAAGTTTGTGCAGTTGTTAAGGCTCAGCTGTGAGCCACAGGGACCCAGGTTTGGAATTTGACTTTGCTTCTTACTAGCCGTGTGACCTCACACAAGTTCCTGCACCTCTCAGAGACCCGGGTTCCTCATCTATAAAACGGGATGCCCAGTTCATAGGCTTGGGAGAGAAATGAGTTAACTCGCAGGAAGGCTTTATCACAGTGCCTGATATATAGTAAACTCTCAACAAATGCTGGCTGAGCAGCTGCCTCTGCTGAGCGAGCCTCATAGGTGGCTTTTGATTTGGATCAGGGAGGATGAGCAGAAGTCTGCAGGGTGGGGAGTTGGAGGAAGCATACTCCAGGCAGAGGACACAGCATGTGCAAAGGCCCTGAGGTGAAAAGTTGGTCAGGGACCTGTGCAGGTATGTGGAGTGGGGACAGGAGAGGCAACACCGCCAGCTCAGCTAGAGCCCTCCTGGGGAGCACTGTGGATCCAGGCTAAGGGGAGCCATGGAGGGGCACCAGCGGGGCTGGGCCCATGAGCAGCGGCGTAGATGAGAAGCTAACTAAGGAGCAGGAGGGAGGCTGCAGAGAAGACGAGAACAGGGTTTGCGGGTCCGGGCTCTTCACAGAGTCCAGTGCGTCTTTTTCCTGGCCTCATACCATGTGCACTTGTGGACTCTTAGGTGCCACCAAGAACACTCATCTGGGGTCCCCAGCCTTTGTTTGAGGGAAACACCCTCTACCAAGCACAGCAAAGGTTCTGCTCTCCTCCCCTCCTTGGGGCAGAGCTGTTGTGGGCAGATGGCTGCCCAGGCAGGGACTGCATCTCCCAGCTCTGCTGCGTTTAGGTGGGGCTGCAGGACCGAGTTCTGGCCAATGGGATGTGGGCATAAGCTCCACAAAATCCACCCATGGGATCCTCCAAGGCCATGGTGACCTTAGCAGTCACAACCTGAAGATGGTGGTGCCATCACCTTGGGTCCCTGAGACTCTGTAAGGAGCACAGCTGCCCCCACCATCAATTTCACTTTACAAGAGGAAGAAAGAAAGGCCGTTGCCTCAATCTACCAGTCTCTGGGTACCTGTTACAGCAGGTAGCATTACCTTGACCAAATACACCCAGGAGTGAATGGCCTTGGGCACCCTGCTTCACCTCTCTGAGCCTCGGTGTCTCACTGTGAGACACGAAAAAGGACAAATGTGAGTGATGCTTTGCAAGCAGGTAAGAACCACAGAGACGCCATTGCTGCTGTGGAGAGGGGATTCTGGACTACCTGCTGAGGCAGAGGGCTGCAGCCAAGGGCCAGAGAAGCTCCGGGCAAGCAGTCAAGGTCCACCAGCCCGTCCTGACCCAGACTGGAGGCTCTCACTTCGGGCTTCAGTTCCACCCCAAGGGAGAGATGCTCCCCAAATAGCTGAGACCCCTGAGGGAGGAAGCTGGGGCCTGGCTTCTAGCTCCTGGCGGCTCCCCTGGGAAGGAGTCAGCCCAGCCTCCTTTTGATAACTTGCTCCAACCTCTCACAACTCATTAACAGGAAATTGCATTCCCTGCCAGGAAGATGCACACCTGATTCTTCAGACACATCAGGCGGACTGTTATCAAAACGCTGTCATGTCCCTGCGCAGCCCCCACACGCTCCCGCACTGCTGTCCTCTGCCAGGCTCTGTGCTCGCAGCGCATGTTGCCTTTGGAGATCTAAAACCTGCTGTGGTTACGTGATCTGCCTGCCCGCTGGCAGCGAGCAGGGGTGGCAGAGGATCAGCCTTCCCCAACTCCTGGGCACCCCACACTCCCAGCCCAGGACTGGGGCTGAGACCACATAGTGGGGCAGGAGGAGGGCATGAGTGACATGTGACGTGATGAGCTGTCTCTGGCCTTTGGCAACTCTCACAGGACTCCAGTCATTCCCTGTCCTTCTGCTGAGGGGGTCCCCCTGCCACGGATCAGGGGTGGGCATGGAGAATGCTCACCCACGGCCTCTGGAACCTGGAGTTGGGGCAAGGCCACCGCCTTTTGCACATGTCACCCACTGTCCCATCCTCTGGGATGGATGGGGCCGACGCTGCCCTCCTCTACCTCCCAGGCTCTTGCCTCCCTTCCTGCTGTCCTGCTCTTGCTATTGGCATGCAAGTTCTCAGATCACCTGACACAGTAAAAACCATCAATGTCCTGGACTGCAATAAGGACATAAGGCATCCATTCCCAGTGTCTTTCCACACACGACAGTTAACCTGCATGTTCCTTATGCCCACCCTGAGGGGTGTCTTTTTTCCTATTTTACAGAGGAGGAAACTGAGGCTCACAGAGATTAAATGACTGGAGCCAAAGGTCAACCAGCTAGTCTACTAGGCAGTAATCTGAGCTGGATCTAGCAGCCTCCAAAATAGTCCTGATCACTTGTTTAATTTTAACTGCAAGTACCAAACTGAGAATTTTATACTTAATCTTCATAACAACACTACAGCATAGGTGGTTGGTTGTATTATGTCCATTTCCAGATGACAAAACTGAGGCTCAAATAAGTTAAGCAACTTGAGGTGGCACAGCAAATAAGCAGGAACCATGGCCTGAACACCTGGAGTGTTGGGACTCTTTCCCTCCACCAGCCTCACAAGCAAGCAAGGTCCCACCTGGGGAAGGCAGAAAAAGAGTCTTCAATGAGATCCTACCAACCAAAAAAGCAGAATATAAAATTACACAAATGCTGGTTGCCACTCCATTAAAAAGCATGTGTACATGGATCACACAGGGCAGGATCTGGTAGACCACAGTATTTCTCGGAGGCAGGGCCTGGCCACTTCTGTTAGCTAGCGCACAGCCACCCTTGGCCGAATTCTCCCTTGTAAGGATGGCTAAGGGTTAAGGTGAATAGGAACCAGGCGGTGCAGGTGTGCCAGCTCAACCTTTCCTTGGCCCTGCAGGCAGGTGTGGGGAGTGTCTTCCCTCCCTCTCCCCAGGTGCAGGAGCCAACTGGCCAGGTAACCTTTCTACCCCACTACATTTCAGACAGGCCGTGGTCTCAGGCGGAGATCCAAGTAAACCAGAGACCACTGCCCTGAGCACCTGCAGCTTCTGAGAAAGCAAAGGCTTGCAGGAGAGGGGCTGAAGCAGCAGCTGCAGCCCGGCAGTGTGAAGGGGCCCGCTCCTGCCGTCCCCATCACAGAGGCCAAGGCCAAGGAGCTGGTGTGCACTGCCATCAAAAATGCCCTGCCCAGCTGGGCAGCTCATTGCCCACCTTTCATTTCATGCTACAGTCAAACCCAACCCAACATGCCATACCACCAAGCATCTGCCCAGGCTGTCCCTTCTGCCCTAAATGCCCTCCTTGCCCCACCCCCAGTCCTCAGCTCTAACATGCACATCTGTTGTTCTCAATTGTCCTGAGTCCACCCCCAGCTTTCTGGATGGTTCCGTTTCCCTCAAAAGTTAGGCACTGTCAACTTCCATTAGAACAGACGCTTTAGGAGAATCCTCAGCTGTCTAGAGGGCAAAGCAGAAGCATCAGGGGAAGAAAGGAACTGAAGAGAGATGCGGGAAGCCCAAGGCCACCCACGCTGCACACTCTGTTCTGAGAGGCCCTGGGACGGCCCGCAAAGCCCGTGGCAGCCTTGCTCCAGTGCCCCCTGCACTCCCACCGCCGTGCCCGCGACCCAACTGCCCTCACCTGCCTGCTCTGCCCGGGAAGCAACAGCCCCTTCTTCACAGCCCAGCTCACAGCCACCGTTCTGTGACGTTCCAGTGGGGTCAGGGGCTCCTCCCTCTGTGCCACAGCGTTCGGACCTCATCACTATGTGTGGATCCCTCCTCCAGGACGAGAACTCCTGTGGGGCCGGGGACTTGGCCAGTTCACCTCCGCATCTCTAGCATCCAGCCCAGAACTGGCCTAGAAAGACCTTACGAATGAATGGATGAACACGGATAGTGAATGAGCTTCCTTTCGCCAAGATCCCAAGACGCCTATTTCCCCATCTCCTGCTGGGCCTCCCCCTCCAGTCACGGGAGGCGCAAACTGCGCCCTTTGTCTTC